TCGAACAACTTCCCTCGCACACTGTACCCAAAACACATATTTATACAGTACGAGGAAAATTAGTTAGTTCATTAGGGCCTTTGCTCAACTAATAAGGTAATAAAACTCAATTAATCGGATGAAAGTGTCGGATTTGCAAAGTTACCCATAACTTAAAAATATCAGTGTGTCCGTTCTTCTGAACAATGCCGCGTTATGATTGGACATAAATTGCGAAACTTATGCTAAGGTGGGTATGAACGTGGTGAGAACTTTTGGCTCGTGGTGTTGGTTTCTGACCAATCATCTCGGAGGAAGCAGAAGCAATTTTCGGCAACCATGAAAGTGGTCAACCAACGGAAGCAGCGGCGTCAACAAGAGCGTCAAGACAAGAAGCAGCATAAGAACAGTCGAGCACAACAGAAGAAAAGCGTGCCAGCCACACATGCCAAAGCAAATAGTCAGGTTGCAGCCTTCAAGGGCAAGAGAAAAGCCCCACCGAGTAGCACCGACCCTGCCAAGCGACCGCGCGTGGGAATTCAGAACAAGTTCATGGAAATGATCCAAGCTCAGGCTGATGATGGTGATCATATCGTCAATAATAATGTGTGCACCTAACGCTGATGATTCAGGAATGATAAGTTTGTCAACGACTACCAAAAAAGGCGCTGGAGTGAAGAAGCTGCGATCTGCAGAGGACGACGCCTTGAAGAAGTTGGAAGCAAACTTGGGCATTTCCAAGACGAACGGCAGAACCAAGCTGAACAAGTACGTGGAGATTTCATTGAGCCACAGCTTATGATCATCTGCACAGGGAATTTGAAAACGACGGACTCGGCACCGACTTCGCCGACTTTCTCACGAGTTTGGACGATCTGTCGAAGTAAACCAGCGCACAGACGCTTTCACCACGTTATGAACTAACGTTGCAACGTAGAAAGATCCAGGGCAGCGATCACTCCGAGTCTGGTGACGACTCGTTTGACAGCGGCGACGACGGAAGCGGCGACGACCAAGACTTGCAGGACGAGATCAACATGTTGGCGACCGAAGATGCCGGGTTTTTGCAAGGTAGTGGCTGGCGGTATAATAACTCCCCTGACTTATGGTGGCGCGCAGGCTTTGACGACTTGCCCACGGACGACGAAGACGAAGTCGATGACTTGGCGCAGTACGAAAGCGACGACGAGGACATGAGTGATGACGAAGACGAAGACGTGGCTCGAAACACCAAGTCGAATAGCCAAACCACAGTGGAACAAGGTACTTTGATCCGTTGGTTGTGTAATATTCATTGGATCGCCATAGACGACAGCATCGACGATGATGATACCAACAGCAAGCCAACCGATTTGAGTACAATCTAGCTGCAATACAATAATGGTTTTGACAACAATCTGGGTTAGAAATTGAGGAAGACATCTATGGTCGACCCAAGATGGCCCCATCCGGTATACGTACGCCAGTATGCCTCTCGTGTATTCATCGTGTCTTAGGTTCAAGCGAAGCCAGTCGTTACGTGCCGCCGCATTTGCGTGTGGCTTCCACCAGCAACGAGAATTTGCTGCGGGAGATCCGTCGACGTGTGAACGGCCAGCTCAATCGCTTGGCAGAAAGCAACATGGAGTACAAAAAGGTTATCGCTTGGGGGCATGCAGTTAACCGGTTTGATTGCTGTAGGTCCATTGCGATGGAGTTTGAGTCCATTTATCGGGCGCACGTGCGGGCTGATGTGAACCGAGTGTTGCTAGAGACCCTGCTGGCAACGTGCTGCCATGAGGTGCCTGCCACCTCTAGCCCATCACAGACTGCTAACGGTGTATACATGTAGACCCAAGTGATGACGCAGTTGATCACGGTCAACGCTGCCCTACTGGGGGCGTTATTCCACTCGATTGGCACGGAAATCGTTGGGTTCTTTGTTGAAAACTTTGTGCAGCTATTTCACAAGGTAATCATATCTTGTCGACTTGACTTTATACAAACGTTGAGGTATAAAGTATATATATATATTTCTCTAGAAACTGGAAGCCCTGCACCAGTCAAGACTGGCCACCAGCGACGACGACACGCCGTCCAAAGAAACCTCCAACTTGTTGCTGTTCATCACGAATTTGTACGGGTTTGAAACCGTGCATTGCACGCTGGTGTACGACATTTTCCGATATCTTTCGGACAGGTATATATATATTTTTTCCTGTAGAATGAAGCCAACTCCTCTTTTGTTGTTTTTCTAGCTTCACGCCCATCGACGTGGAATTGCTTCACTTGCTGCTCCAACGTAACTATCGATATACCATGCAGACCTCGCACTTATGGCGTTGTAGACTGCGGTCCGTCTTTGCGCGCGGACGACCCAAACGCCTTGTCTGAAATGATCACGTCGATCCAAGCAAAGTCTGCGACCCACGAAGAAAAGTACGCTGTTCAACCATCACTACATTAACCAGAAAAAATCAAACCCACATGGCTAGGCGGGTGCAATTCCTGCTGGACCTGATTTCAAACTTGAAGAAGCAGAAAGCCAAGTCCAAAGGCACGTCCGCCCTCTCGTCCGATCGATTTCTGCACTTGCGCAAGTGGATTGGCCGGGTCAAGACCCGCGTGGGCCATGCCAACAACCCGTTGCGCGTATCGCTGTCGGAGCTCTTGGCTGCGGATGGTACGAGTCGTATTTTCTACGTGGATTTACGTAGTACTCTAAAAAATGATGCAAAACATATTGTGCTTTCGAGTGACGTTTCATTGTGTTGTGGCGTGGTTTCTCGTTGGAATTTAAATCGATTTGATTGGCTACTTCAGAAGAGCTCAAAATTATTAACCAATCAAAATCTTCTGAATGAAATTCAACCAATCAGATCAATTGTGGATCGGTTTGGTCGGCGCGATTCGATTGCACCCCCTCCCCAAATTTGTATATCAAATCGACAATATATAATGTCTGTAGCCCAAGGACGATGGTGGATTATTGGCGGGACGTGGGTACCTCCAGTAAGCAGAGTTATTTATTTATATTATTTTTTCGAGTCGTAACTAACTTGTGGAGAGTAGAGCCAACCTACCGCGAAACAAGAAGGAACGTCGCGGACAAGTAGTTTGCTGCGCTTGGCGGAGAAGCAACGCATGAACACAGGTACCTTGAGTGGCCACGACGCTAAAAAGTACTGACGTATCCTTGTAGACGTCCGTCGCGCCATCTTTTGTGCTATCATGGGTTCGTCCGATTTCATCGAAGCGCATGACGCGGTGCTTAAACTGGGGTATGCTTATTAATCAGCTGGAATATGTGGATTTAATCGCTCACGTGGTTGTGATGTGTAGACTTAAGGACAAGCAAGAGCGAGAAATTATCCGCGTACTGCTGCATTGGTATTGATATTTTTGTGTTTGGATCAACATGAATGACGACACACCATATAGTTGCGGAAAAGAAGCCAAGTACAACCCGTTCTACGCCCTTCTCGGGTCCAAATTTGCGCAGAGCGACACCCGCTACAAGTTTACGCTGCAACTTGCCTTTTGGGATATTTTCAAGCAGGTACAGAAGGTCTCGGACTTGGTTAATTCTAATGTCCTATCTAGATGGCCGAGTGGAAACCTCGCCAAGTGTACAACCTCGGGTGTTTGCTCGCCAGTCTCTTGGAGTCGGACGCCATGGGCTTGTCCTGCCTCAAGGTTTGATTGATATACATTGGGATATTGTGTGCTTTCCGCTGAAATTTGGATTATAATATAAACCACACACTAATTCGATGTTGAATTGTTGAAGAGAGTATTTGATTGGCCACTTGAGCACTGTACTGGATTTTGATTGGTCGGTCGATTGTCTGCCGATTTGATGTTGCTATTTCGATTGGCCACCCCACTACTGTCGAATCGACAATATTTATGATTAGGTGTTGGACTTTACCGAGCTGTCGCCGTCGGCGGTGCTGTTTCTCAAAGTCGTGTTTGAAAAACTGCTCTTGATTGAAGACGAAAGCACGGTTCTCGTCGTGTTTGAGCGCATTGCCCTACAAAAAGTCAAGGTATATATATATATATATATATTGGCTATTTGCTACAAATACCTAACATCATGTAGACGCCTGCCCTGCGTGACGGCATCACCGTGTTCCTCCACCAGCACATGTTGCCATACAAGTTCAAAGACTCCAAGGGCAAATCCCGCGCCAAAATGGTGTGTGCTTTGCTCGACGCTATGGGCAAAAAGTAGATGGATCTGTGGACAAGAATTGCATCCACAATACCAGCCAGCACACTTTAGGTTGTCGTTGATTGAAATACAAATGAATTTTCCTTGCACTAAGTACGTAATGTGTGGCTCTACTTTTCGCAACTAACGTCAAGTTAGCTTACAAGTAGTGACACTTGACACCTGTTACTAGTTACGAGAAATGCTCACTGCGTATGAAGCTTAGAGTTTGATCTCACAATTATATTATTGTACTGCTAACTGTAAAGTGCTTTCGAACAGTTTCAAACTTGGCGCCGCAGTATTTCAGCACAAGTGCTAATAAATGTTACTGTCTCGTCCACATAGTTCATGTAGCGTTACAAACGGTAACGGCTGAGTCTGCGCCAGTTTCACAGCAACTCAAATGTCCTTCAGATGAAACCGACATTGAAACGGTGGTAGCTGCGTGACGACATGCGCAGCGCATTGGTGCAATGCTAACCCTCTTGACTATCAAGTCTCATGTCGAGCTTCAGAATGCTACGGGCGAAACAGTGCAGAAGCGACCCCTTCGAAAACACAAGCTCGCGTTGGGCACGTCCTTGGCATGTCTTCAAGACCAAGTCCTGGGTGTTCACGATCCCGAGATTCAGGAGATCCGGCGCACTGGCTTGGGCGATTTCACGCACGAGTTTCTTCTTTGCGACATGGACGGAGACTGGGTGGTCTTGGAGTCGGACGACATTGTCCAGGCAAGGGGCTTCCTCCAAATCAAAGTGCTGTTGCGACTCAACATCATCTTTCCCAGAGGCGACGAATTGTTCGTGTCAAGGCATCAACACTTGGCCCCCCTGCACGTTGACTTGGTGAAATGTGGACCCACCACCACGACGAACGGCGACGAACGCAGCATTGAAGACGCCGTTTTGACACAGAACTTCGACTCGTTCAGCGACTCAGATATGACAACGACAGTTCCATTCAGCTCGCAGGAATTGTCTCATCTTGGAGCTGAAGGACCCTCCACTGCCACGGACGATACTTGCCCATCCATGCTGGACGATATTGCGCTGAGGTGTCGACGTTTCACCCACTGCGACTTCGACTGTGACCGTGGACGGTTTTACTGGGTGGACCAATTGCATGGTGACCTGGGGTACATCGACGTGGACTCGGACGAGTGTTGTGTGTTGATGCAGCGGCTTCAGCGGCCATCCCACGTCAAACTTCTGGCTCGGACGTCGGCATTTTACATCGAACAAGGCCGTGACAGCAATGGGGGCTCAATATCGTGTGTCAATTTGGAGACGCGTGAAGTCTCCGTGGTGGTCACAGGTCTGACAAACCCAACCGGTCTGTGCATTGTCTTCCATCCCACGACTTTGGTGTTTGGCCAGACAACTGTTGATCACATCTTGACCATTTCAGCAATGTCATACGACACCAGTTCCCCCACGAAGGATGCACGTACCGATACAACTATCAAACTGCTTGTGACCAAGGCATTCACCGCGTCTGTCCAACCAACGGCAATCTCGATCGCAGCAGACGGGTCGTTGTGCACCGGATTTTCTAGCATCGCTCTGCCTCCATCTAGGGGACAACTTTCCCTTTGGATACCGTCCACCAAGTATATCACCAGCACCCCCGGCCTGTACGACTACAACCTTGCGACTGCGGTGGACATGGCAACGCCCCACTCCGTCCGCGACGTGATGTGCCATCCATCGCGGGCTTTCTTCATGTTTTGCATGGCAGATCCAGACACGATGACTCATTCATCAGCCCTCGGAACCGTCCATTTGGACAGTGCCCCGCCTCAGCTCGAGTTGGACCCCGAACGGTTCGTTCAAACGACGTGCTTGGCAGGCACCCACGACCGAGTGTACTATTGCGCGTCTGTGGGGGCCATGGATACAATCGTGTACACATTCCTGCATGCCGAGAGTGGAGGACGAAGGGAAGTAGACGACGTCGAACCGGCCAGGGGAACACCATTACTTGTGTGTACTCAACCAATTGGCGCTTGTCTTGATACCACAAGTGACCTCAGTACTGTGGAGAAGCACGGGCGGCTCGACGGGCCAGTCAATATTCAAGTGATTCTTCGATCGCGGCCACTGCTGCGCCATGAAATTGATCGCGGTGTGCAGAGTGTCGTGACGTGCTCGGGCTGCAATGCTTTACATGTTGCGCCCATTCGAAGTTATCAATCGTCCAAACATTTCACGTTCGACAGAGTGTATGGACCGGCATCTACCCAAGACGATCTGTATCAGGTAACCATGGCTTTTCATCAGTTTGGTTTTTACTCACGCTTCGACGTAGACTTCGATCCTGCCACTCGTCCACCGAGTTCTTCAAGGGTACAAGTGCACTGTGCTGGCGTACGGCCAAACTGGCTCTGGGAAAACGCACTCCATGGAAGGGTCCGCCGGCGACCGCGGCATGATTTTCAAGAGCATTGCCACCATATTCGACCAGCTCAAAGGCAAAGCAGACTGTCGAGTGCGCATGTCCCACGTTGAGATCTACAACGAAGAACTGACCGACTTGCTGTCGACCTCTCAACGAGCCGAACGGAAGGCCAGCCATGTGGACAAGTTCTTCGTCCATCGTGTCAAGAAGGCCCATCCAGGCATCCGCGGGTTGTCCAAAATGAAACGATGTGACGAGCTCGAGGATTTCGAGGACAAGGTCGACGACTTGCCGAAGCTTTCGATCATCCGCCATCCCTGCCATGGCGTAATTGTTCAAGGGCTCGAAGAGGTTTCGATTCAGTCGGCTGCAGATGCGCAGACCCTGCTCGAACGCAGTTTTTACTGTCGACAAACGGCAGCCACGCAATGCAACAAAGTGCATCAATCCCCGCAATAATCCAATCCCAAGTGGACTCATGTGCGAGTGATGTCTCGGGTAGATGTCCAGCCGGTCGCATTCGATTTTAACGGTTCACACTGAGGTCACAGGTACTTCGAGTTGCTTCGTTGACACTAGAATGACACATGAACAACTCTTGTAGCGATGGACGGATCTGGCGACCAGAGCATTTCGTATGGCCAGCTTCGGCTCGTGGATTTGAGTGGGTCTGAAAACTACGACCGTGCGGGGGCCCAGCGAGATCGACAGCTAGAAGCCGCCAATATTGGCCAAGGATTGTTGGCGCTGGGACGAGTCATCCGTGCCCTCGTGGAGAAGTGGCCCCACGTTCCGTACCGCGAAAGCAAACTCACGGTACTCGAAATCTAACCACACATGTCTTTGAGTGTATTTTGTAGCGATTGCTCGAGGACAGTTTGGGCGGCACGTCCATGACGACGCTGCTCCTGGCAGTGTCCCCCGGAGACGAAGCGCACGAAGAAACGCTAAACACACTCAACTACGCGACCCTGGCGAAGCGAGTGACGACACGACCTCGAAAGTCGTGCTCATCGAAAAAACCAAACACGAACACCCTCCCTCAGTGCAAAAGCCAGCCGAGCTTGACTCCTGAAGTGATCTCGCCCTGGCAAGGACATGTCCCCATCAGGACCAGCACGTCCGCCATGAAGCACCTCGTGAGAGCGACGGACCGCACGATGCATGTGCCCACGACCGAGTGGAGCGAAAACGTTCTCTGGGAGGTGAACGCCAAGACGTTGACATCGAAAGCGCGGCGGATACTCAAGTAAACAACACCTCGATTGCATTGGCATCTTTATGAGTGATGAGTAGAACGATCTTCCACACGTTCGACTCGAAAAAGGGCGGCGCGTTGTGCAAACACGATGCCCAGAAGGTGTACCACGATCTGTTCCAACTGCCCAAGGCGGCCGCCCCGCCCCAGCTCCTTCTGGACGACTTTCTCGCAACATTTGACGCCTTGGTGGCCACGAATCCCATGCTTGCACGACACATATTCACGTCTCAAGGATACACGTTGAACATGGAAAAAACAACACCCAAACAATCGACAGCATCAACCCCCATCAAAACCTCCGCTTCGTCACTCAGCAGCCTCGACGTTTACACGAGTAACCCAACACCCCCCTGTTATCCGACTACATCGTATTCACGTTCTTATCTGGCGATAGGTCTGTCGGACGAACCCAACATTCTAGTGCAAGAAATCCGAGTTCCCGTGGGGAGTTTCCGGGGACTCCGCGACGTGCGGATGAAAAAATCGATGGCGGCGACTCGACCGTCGTCTGCCCCCGTCCATCGAGACATGATTCTCACTCAGAGTAGTAATTATCATCAGCAGTGCACCGAACGCAGTCTAACTCGATAGACATCGACATCCATGGCTTTGGAATACGACCAGAGCTATGGTTGACAATCAGAGTGTAGCTACATAGTCTAGTCAGCGTGTTGATCATACATTCAATGAGCTAGCTATACCGCTCAAATAATGGCGCAAAAGTGACATCGAAGTCACAGTTGAAAAAGTGATCAATTGAACGGCGTTATGAGCTTTCGCGCCGACCAATACTGCGACGACAAGTCGAGTTCCAAGGTCAGAATTTGACCCACAAGCCACAACACTTCAGCTTGAGACGTCGACTTCAAATCAAGCGATGCCAGGCTCCCTTGGAGAACCACCCACTTGAAACCCAATGCCGACATCGCTGGAACCCACTCGCGGGCGTTGGGGGCGGGGCTGGCAATACCGAATGACTGGCTGCTATCTTGTGTGAAGATTTCAACAATGTTTGCACGCATCTACATGTGTGTCCATAACGTAAATAGATCTATCATTACAGTACGTACCGTGGCCAACGTGGACGAATCCGATACTCTAACAGACACGAGCCATGGATCGTCGTCGTCGTTGTTGCCGCGTCGGTCCACCCGGGATATCGTCAAGCCGTTCAGGGTACTTTGAACCATCGTCTGGGGTTTCGAAAGCAGCGCTGCCAGTACTGATGACTCATTTTTGCCAAGTAACACGCCCATCGACATCACAGTTGGCGGTGTCACAGAGATGTCAGCTTGCGCAATTTGCGCCGCGTCGCAATATTCGCTGTGGCAACGCTTCCACCACGTGGAATTCTCGGCAGCATACTGAGTGGACACTTGGTTGAATGATGCCTCGTCCGTCCACGGGATCTCTTCAAACACATGTGCACCTTGAAGCGCATTCAACGAAGTGGCCATCACCGTGTAGTGAAATGCACACGGGCGGTCGTCGTAGACGAGGTACACGTGGACTTCCAATTTCGCAGCCCCCGCTGCAAACAACTCGAACGCGTCCAAGCGAATGTGCTCGGAAAGCGAATCTCGCCATGGAAATGTATATTGGTGGCTCTTTGATCGCTCCCGAAGCACCACTAGCACGTTCCTACAACTCATTCAAGTGATTTTTACAACCAATATATAACTATATATATATAAGAAGGAGTACCAGTCTGTCAACACAAGGTCAAGCGGTGCTACCTTTGGATTCACATGCATTGATAGCTCCAATACACCATTGTATGCTTGAGATTCGCGGCCAAGATTCGTCACCGACACTTTGCAGTGAAAGTATTTGCGTACATCTAATGTCAGGTATTGAGATATAGAAATAAATGTATCTAGTATACCTTGGACCTGACAAAACTGCAGAAACCGCCTCGTGGAATTCATCTTGTGGATGGATGCACTCAACGACAACGCGGTGGACGCCGCCGCAGTCATGTCAGCCGATGCCCGAGTAATCTTGGCCACTTGCATTTGCAGAGCCTTGTCCGAGCCTTGAGGGACACTGGCTCGATCATTCGATCCTTCTACATTTACAAGGTAACCCTTAGTACATACTAGTAGTGGTTTGCGATTAACGCACCTGGCTCAAGCACCGTCGTGAACAATCTGCAGAGCTTTGACAGGACGCCGATTCGACTTGGTTCTGCACACGCGACGACTCGCTTGGCGTCCTACAGGCACCATCAATGAGCTTCTTCCTTTGGATCGTGGACACATTACACGAGGAATGTGATGGAGCGCAGCGCTGCTGGATGAACTCAGCGCATGAGCGTAGCACTGGCCCCGGGCCACATACACGAACTTCTTGGCTATCGAATGATACACGATCGAATCGACTGGGAAATGTAGCTGGACGTCCATGAGCACACGCCCCAACGCCCCCAGCACCACCAGTCGTCCCAACGAGCCTAGCACAGCAATCGCATCTGACGACACGGCGAGCAATTGTTGGATGGCTTGGTCTTTGAAACTCCAAAGGGTGAAGGCGGACAGAACTGCCTTGCGGACGTCCACCGCCACCACGCGCACGCGGCCGTCCACGTCGCCTTGCACGAGCCACCCGTCGCACTTTGAATCGCATGCGTTGTCGAAAAACGATTGGCTGGCGGTGGCCTTGGACACGTAGAGCATGCACGTGGGCATTTCTCCTTCAAGGTCTGCGTATTCGATGGGCTCCGCGAGCTTGTTGCGGCGGGGTGACAACACGGACGCAGCCGTGGGAGCCAACACCCCCATGGAGAAAACGACCACTGACAACGAGTCGTCGACGTGGCAAGAGATGCTGCGCACGCCAGGAATGTGAAGGATCGGAACGTGAGGTTGCCCCTTGTCGCTGGTGGAATCAAGCGATCGTTTTCGGTTCGCACGGACTTGGTGGCGAGACTGTCCAAGTGCGGCCACGTCATCCCGGACCACGTCATCCCGGACGTCGCCGTGGTGGAGGTTGTCGCTGGGATTCCATGTTAGTGATAACAAGCGATGTTCCTGTACTACGTACTGACGTCGACTACAGAGAGTGATCGAACGGTCTGTCAACGTTGGCCATGGAACGAGCCAAATGCTACCCCTGTCTCCAGCGATCGCGATGCTGCCTAACAGTGCCATGGAGCTATGAACTTAACGCATACATGCACATACCGTCAAAGGACGCAACATCGACAATGGCTTCTTCTACATGAAATGTACACTGGTCCCCGAAGGTCATTTAACCAAAACCACGATTGAACGAGGACGAACCTTGATCTTGCTGCCTTGGAGGAGGTGCAGCACATGTGGCAGTGTGCTCACGGCATATACCGTGTCTGGGGAAGTGGACTCAATGCGACGAAGATGCACGCTGCAGCCACCACCTGGTCGCGCGAACTGCCACAACGAGGACACAGACCCTCGTCGACGAACCTGCATGATGGGAGCAGTGAGCGACAATTGCAACTCGGAGTATTGATTTTGTCATCTATTTGTCAAGATTAATTATTTATCATCGATACTTGCTGAAATACTGGTATTAAATATGAATTCATTTATTAATATACTTGCAGTGTTTGAATAAACTGACAGTGACCACCATGCCAAGCGCAGCTGACGCCGCTGTGATGGTCATGGTGCTGTCGTACGTTGGCGTCGCGACCCTGTTCTCCGTGCATGCTCCACACGCGTACATGGTACGTGCGTCTTCGCATTGTGTGCATATACCAACACCCAATCCACCAGGACGAAGTCTTCCACTTTCCTCAGACCGAGCACTACTGCGAGGGGCGATGGGGTAACTAACTAGCGTATGCACACCACATCTCGACCTCATGTGCACTTGCCAGGTGTTTGGGACCCCAAGATCACCACATTTCCTGGTCTGTACGTCGTTGGAACGGGGTTTGGGTCAGCCGTTCACCACGCGCTCTCGACGTTTCAAGTAAACGTTGTGGCTCCATCGCTGTGCTCGTTGAACGTGTTGCGAAGTATAAACGTCCTTTTCAATATTGGCAGTCTGTTCTTGATCGTGAAGTTGCGCTGCATGAAGGTACCACTCGGCCGCTCTTCCTCACGTCGTCACCCAATGAAACAAATCCTAGTACGCTCCCGACGCCATCACGACAGGGGCAGTGCACGGCATTGTGATTGCCCTCTTCCCAGTGCATTACTTTTTCTCGTTCCTGTACTACACGGACGCCGGGGCCGTGTTCTTCGTGCTGGCCATGTACTTCTTTGCCCAACGAGGTCGCGCCGACCGACTTCGCCATGGCGCCATGACGATGTCACATCTCGTCAGTGCTGCAGTATGAACGCCCCCACGTTGTCCCATATTGACGTTTGATCTAGTGCGGCGCTGTCGCTGTGAGCTTTCGCCAAACCAACGTACGTGTTGTAAACCCAAGTGATTAGGACCACCAGAGGTTGTTAGGTGATTTGGGTGCTATTTGTGCTCGGCATTGAAATCGTACACGACTTGGAATCAACGCATGATGCTGCTCTGTATGGGTATGCACTATATCAACCACAAAGATAAGGTTGAAATCGCTTGTATGTATAACGTCCTAGTACTGTAGCAACAGCACCGAGACCCCTGCATCGAATGCGCTGGGGTATGCAACACCTACATGTATGCAGTATACGCCTAATGCGTTCATTATAATTAGGCTGTCCACATACATTTCGTTTGCAAGCTTGCTCTTGAAAGACAGTCGCCGATTGGCTGGGTTATTTTGGCCACATGGGTCGATTGTGGTGGCGTTTGGGGTATTTTTAGTCACTAATGGGTCCATCACCGTTGGTACAGTACTGGATGAATGTCACTATTGCACACATGTATATGTCACTATTCGTAGGCGACAAGACCAACCACGTAGCCACGTTTCACGTCGGACAGCTCTTGTACTTTAGTGTCGTGTGCGCCACTGGGCTTGGCGTGTCTTGCTTCTGGAATCCACGTACGATATATATATATATATATATATATATATGTCCAACATTCGAACAGACAATAGATATATATATATATATATATATTGTCTGTTCGAATGTTGGACCACCCATCGATTATTACTTTAAAGTTTGTTTATGGGAAATAATAATGTCCAGTGTTGGGATGCTGTCGAATGGATTATTTTGATTGGCCACTTGATTATGTTCTGGGTTTTGATTGGTCGTATCGATTTGATACCTTTTCGAATTGAATTTTCGAGTGAAATTTCGTGTTGTGGCGTGGTTTCTCGTTGGCTACCTCAGATGAGCTCAAAAGTATTAGCCAATCAAAACCTTCTCAATGAAATTCAACCAATCAGATCGATTGTGGATCGGTTTCGTCGGCGCGATTCGATTGCACCCGCTCCCCAAATTTGTATCAAATCGACAATATGCGAATAAGCACAATAAGTAACGTACTAAATGGGAGATGTATGTAGTCGAGTTCGTGATGACATTCGCACAACACTTCCGCCGCCGTGCTTTGGTGTCGATGGTGCTCAGCAGCGGCTTTCTCATCGCCATCTACTCGTTCAGGTATATTGATTGCATCTATCATGTATGTATTGTGTTGACTTGTTGGTTTGGTAGCGACGTGCATCCGTTCATATTGGCCGACAACCGCCATTTTACGTTTTACATTTGGAATCGGTTCTTTCTCAAGCATCGCCTCATGAAGATGGTGCCTGCGCCTTTGTATGCGTATTGTCTGTGGCTGCTGTGGAAGCACATTCGTACGTACAGTACTGTAGTCACATCCAGCAAACTACTAGTAGTACTACTAGTAGTACGTAGTTCTTACGTAACGCATAGGCACGGCTAGTTCGCCGCTGCGTACGAGTGTATATGGCCTCGCGACGGCGCTGGTGCTGATCCCAACACCACTAGTCGAGTACGATCATTCAATACCTCGTACTTGGCATGTTCATGTACATTGTGCATAGGCCTCGGTACTACATCGTTCCGTTCGTGCTGTACCACCTCAATGCCGACAAGGTACCTATCTATTTACTTATGTACCTTGTTGTGTGTATTTTGCATTGTATATCGCGCGACCGACTACTCATGTCTGGAACTGTACCTAGCAACCGTTGCCCCAGCTCGTCCTCACGGCGCTGTGTTTTGGCGCGGTGAATGCCTTGACGATTTACGTGTTCCTGTTCAAGCCATTTCGTTGGCCCGATGGATCTGAAGCCAGGTTTATGTGGTAGTCACAAAAGCACATCGTAATGAGTACAGATTAGAACCCGCACTAAACAGAAACAATTGCCAGCTCATGTGTTCAAGTATACTCCTTTGCGAATGTCTTGACCCTTCCTTTCACGATAAAGGTGGTTGACACGCACGTACATCATGCAGAACGCTCCTCGATACACTTCTAGCGGCATGTATATATATATATATATATAGTAATCCCAGGGCCTTTCAAAATAGTATGTTATATTTATTCGTTGCTCGTGTTTCATTAATAATTGTAAATATAGATTACCTTTTGACGACAACACTACGAAAAACAGATTGTCTAGATTATATTTTAATGTATTCCCGTGGTCACTCCATGACATTGCATGGCCTTAGCAGCATCGTGGATACTCCAGTACTCCAAGTTGTAGGATCAGGTTCGATATCATTGTATATGTGTTGTGCTGTACATACATGGTAATCGGAGGGAGTTGGTTAAACGACCTGCTGAAGCTGGTCATATCGTGGTCGATCAGAACATGATAGATCGGCCCAAGCATGTGTGCGAACGGTACGTGCAGCTGAATCTGGACAACATCGGTCGGGTTCTTGCTGGAAGGCGCTCAGAGGGCCAACGCCGGTCATATGATGGCCGTCATTCCTCGATCACCGCATCCATTCACCGCTTTCGGAGGTGCGGCAAGGAGGTCCAGGCCCAATACGCCCATGTTGACTTCGGCTCACAGCATATCCCTGTCGTTGTCGACTTGACATCCTTGGTGGTGGATCCACGTCATCACAATCGTCGTGGTGACAATGATGATCCAATACCAAAGAGACGATAGGCAGCCTTCACCTTGGGCGCGTCAGAAACGTAGTCGGGGGGATGGGATCGCCGTCGAGGAAGTCGAGCGCTTCTCCCTAGAACCCCCGCATGTCGATAATGAACTAGATCTAGGCAAGAGCCAGCAAGTTGGTTTGCCATCTAAACCGAAAAACATATTGGACGGGATCCTCGGAGATATAGCATCCAGTACATTTGAACAACGTTGCCAAGACAATGTCGTAGTTGTGGGGGTCTCGGACGAGTGGACTCGACTAAACTATGGCATTTATTATTAATGTCTTCTTCACGTTAAATAGTATACGAGCTATCCTCCGCCTAACGGGACTCGTCTTCGTCACTAAAGTACGGGTCCTTCTTCACCTGGCGGCGCGGGGGGGCGCTGCTATCAGTGGGATGGTGGCTGCCGCCGTGAACTGGCTTGGATTGGTAGGCGAGGGCGGCTACTCCCACATTGCCAATGTCACTACAGATCCTTGCATTAGTGACCACGCAACATGGTCGGTGGGTGGTTGGTTACCTGTGGTCGTCCTGTGTGTGGTCGAAGTAGTCGGCGGCTTCTCCGTGCTCAAACTTGGTCCGTCGCTTGGAGCTCTTCTTGGGCTTGGGCTTTTCGCGAGCCCCCAGCATGTTGCGGGGACAGTCGTACGAGTAATGGCCCGCCTCGGTGCACTCGAAGCACACTTTCTTGGATGAGTACTTGCGTTTCTTGATAAAGTCGCCTGACCGGCCGTTGTCGTTGGAGATGGAGCAACTTAACGTCATTAACTCCACCTTGGCACCTTGCATGGCTTTGCATGCTTTCTCGCAGTCTTCAGGCTGCGAAAACTGCACAAAGGCCACGCCGCGACTCGCGCGAGTGTCCTTGTGGCGCAAAAGCGTCACCCGAGCAATCTTCCCATACCCAGTGAACAGCTGGGCGACATCGTTGTTCGTGTACGCATACGGAAGCATGGACACGTACAGGGTGGACTTGGACGGGCAGTACGATTTGTGCGGCAGGTCGGTGGCGGAGAGGTTCTCGTCCATACCGGGTAGCGAGCGTTTCCTCTTATACTTCAAATCCCAAGCAAAATTTGCTTAATTTGCATTGAATTTCTGTCGAACCATCAACTGTAATTTGCGATATTTTCGTCGTTAATTTGGTATTTTGCGTGATTCATCGACCTGCAATTCTATTGGCTACATTGCCCATGATGCTGCCTTTTCAAACGGGAGCAGCTTCCACGACCAGATGTGGCACTGAGTGATCTGCTCCAGCCAGCGGAGGAAGATGAGCGACATAGGGTAAGCATGCGTACGTGTCCACTACCACCTTATCTGCACGTGGACTTGACCTGTCCATCCTGTGTCGTTTGCCCAGGGAAAGTTGACGAAGATAACCTATGCCTCATGAAAACATACCCTTTCCAAAAGGTCAGATACAACCGCAAACGTCCTGTGAATCTACTTAGTGATGACCTGCAGAAGCCTTGAATCAGCAATTAGGACAAATCGCCCTTCAATATATGAAAGAGATTTGGACCGACGACGAAGTGGCTGGCAGCGACACTCGAACCCGCCCAAAATAGGCACTCAACCGGCAGCAAACTATAAATATGACCATTCAAAATGTAGATACGATGAGCTCTTGTAGCAGCAAGGGATGGCCATAGACGTGCTTCTGGGGGACATCCATTTCAAACCACATCGCCATCAAGATTGTGTTTCCATGCGTTGTACGAACGACGTGGCGTCACCATGGGTGACCTATTGGGGTTTGTATGTTTCTCGCAAGTTGGTCTTGCATTGGCCCACTCCGACGCAGCACGAGCGACGTGGGACGCCAAGACGGGCACGCAGGTCGTGACCAGTCCCATCCTCAACGGCGAGTGGTAGAAGATATATAGGAACTTCATTTTGTTTGGTGGTGTTACTACTGTAGTAATACTAGAAGTAGTCGGCACATTTCGCCGCACAACCGCCCTCGTTATAGTTGTACACCGGTCGTCCATGATGAAGGAGATGGTTGCGGTGGTGGAACTACAGCTTCTACAATCGAGTTGCGTACGGCAGGTTGCGTGCCAGGTTGTTGGTTGACGATGGCAGAATTCAAAGTGATTATGACGTATTATTTCACATGTGCTGTCTGTCGGTGGACAATTGATAATTGTGAAATAATACAGGTGTAAACAGTGTAATAAACTGGTCGTCTACATGTCATATTTTACATGTTTCAAGTACAATCCATGGGCTGGGGCCATACGGGGGGCCAGCTGGCGACTTTTCCCGTGCAGAATGCGCTCAATGTCTTGTGGCTTGAGCTTGTGGCGCCCGACCTCCACCAACGCCCCCACGATGTTGCGCACCATGTGATACAAGAAGGATGGCGCGGACACTTCGACGTTGATCAGTTGCAACTCTTGGCCGAACGGATACGTATCTGGCAACGACACCACCTCCACGCCCACATGATCGAGGGTTTTCACTGGCGTCAACGCTTGACACTTGACGCCCCGGAAACTGGTAAAGTCGTGCTTCCCCACAAAGTACTCACAGGCTTCCGACATGGCTTGGATGTCCAGGGGCACCGGCACATGCCACGCCGTGTCTCGCGTGAACAGGGCGGACGGGAGCGATCGCTTGGCGCTGTGTCGATCGTGAACGAGCTCCCGAGGCGCGTAGATCTGGTACAAGTAGTCCCGTCCGCGAGCATGGAACCTCGAGTGAAAGTCCATGGACACGGCTTCAACTTGTCGAACAACGATGGGTTGCTTATGGTCGCGCAGGAACGAATTCATCGCATTGCGCACGACTTCTGGGGAATGGGGAGGTTCTTCGTCGCTGCAAGTGGTGGCGTCGTGAGATGGTGTGCTTGTTCGTGCCCATCGGTGCATCCTCTGGAGATCTACGTGGCACACATTTCCCTACTGGCATCGTAAGCTCGTGGCACGGTGAAGTGGGACGGACCATCGCGTGCACCCCTGCGTCGGTGCGACTGGATACCACGACTCGGGATGCGTTTCCAGCACCCACCAGTCGCCTTAGTGCTTTCTCCAGTTCCACTTGGACGGTGGGAGCTTCAACCTGCGCTTGAAAGCCGTTGAATGCACTGCCCAGGTACTCCACAGTCACCTTGTACCGCTGCATGACGACGACCTTTGCCTGTCGTTGGACGTCGATACTTGACGTAACGTTATTGGCCAAATCATTCAAAATTATTTACAACTAAATTGCACAGTATAAATGAAAAATGAACGAAGAAAGTGCGATTGCGTGCTTTTGATTGGATAAAATTGCAGAAATAGTTGTTCATTTTCCGGATAATCATTTCCGGATAGGGCATCCAGCTAACACTGCAAACCCCAAAACCTTCGAAGATACAAGTGCCGAGGGTCATGTCATTGCTCGCGTCCAAGCATGTACGTCGTCGACAGGTCTGCCAGATGCGCTTACCATGGCATGCATGCAACTAGGTGGATTTCGATATTGTCTGGAGAGAAATAGAGCCGTCGGTGGAGGTGCTAGTCAGCGGATGCCACGACCCGTTTTCGTACGACAAGTGGCAGAGTGTCTACCGCGGCGTGTACAACATCTGCACCAACCCTGGGACTCCCCAGGCCGAAACATTGTTCCAACACCTGCGCGATGTCCTTGTTCAACGCGTGGAGAACATCGCAGAGGTACAGACCCCTCCAGGAGGTGGCATTTCTGACATCATTTTGAAGGTGCTGAGTGCCGAGCATGGGGAAGCCGAGTTCTTGGGTCAATATTGCTCGCATTTCAACATGTTTTCGACTGGCACGTCGTACGTGTCCGAGTTGTTTTGCTACTTGAATCGGTATTGGATTCGATATGCGCACTCGGAGTACGGCCAGGCGCCGATTCAGGGCGTGTACCCCATTCCAGAGGTACTTTTTCCCATGACTCTTTTGCCCGTGTTCATCCAAGTGCAGCTGGCATTGCGGATTTGGAGGGATGTGCTGTATGCCAGGCTCAAGGACCGCGTCATCGCGTCCGTCTTGCACCTGTTCCAGCGAGACAGGGAAAGCGAAGGCGACCAATTCGAGCACGGCGACCTCATTGCGTCAACTGTTCAGGTCGACGACTTTCATCATGTACACATCAACCGCATGGTATTCCGTAGATCTTTGTCGTGCTCGGTTTAAACAAGCAAGACCCGCTCAAGCTGTACCGCGAAGACTTGGAAGTTCCGTTTCTGGCGGTACATTGGATGTTCATTATTCCATGTCGTTATTTGATGCAATATGTACAGTATTATGGTTGTACCCGATTTGGACTTTGATTTTCGAATTCTTTACTAATTTCTACTTTCTTTTGTCCTGATTTACCAAATAGATAGTACTTTGTGTTGAATTTTGTATGTAAAATATCCTGTCCTGTGTTACACTAATTATAAAGTCATCCGCGAATTAGATCATGATTTCCTTCAACCTGATTGGCTCAATTCTACTGCCAATGATACTTCTGTACATGCATTTGGTTGTGTCGATTCATGCTCTACATTTATATATTGTCCTTTTACCCAGAATTTGGACTTTCGTGCTGATTCACCAAATCGATATAGTACATTGTACTGACTTTTGTATGTAAAGATTGTCCAGTGTCACACTAATTTCATTAACACACTAATTCGATGTTGCATTAATCGAATAGTGGATGATTTGATTGGCTACTTGAATTTTGTTCTGGGTTTTGATTGGTCGTATATCGATTGTCTGTCGATTTGGTTATTCTGCTCATTCGATTGAGTCCCCACTCCAATTTCGAATCGACTTCACAATGTGTCGCTCCAGTTTAGAATAAATAATAGAAAACACAACAATCCATATAATATATATATATTAGGATGCTACACGGTTTTACGCAGCGTTGGCACAAGACCTGTTGGAGCGGGTGTCCATTGCAGATTACCTCGTGCTAGTGGAAACCCTGTGCCGCCATGAAGAGCGCCGCTGCGACGGCAAGATGCACCGCATGTACGTGTGCCCCATCTGCTCTAGTCATGAACTTCACATGTTTGAATTGTCAACTTATCTATATATATATATATATATATAGCACCGTGCAGCAGACGCGACAGACGTGCTGCAGGGTGCTCGTGGAAGCACACACAGAGCGCCTGTGCGACCACGCCGAAGCCTTCTTCGAGTCCAACCAGACCCAACACTTGCGTCGATTGTTTGGGCTGTTTTCCGAACTGCCTACTCCCCACGCCCTTGTGACGCTGAAGGTACACGTACAGTACGTTCGTTGCTGAAGTCCATAGTGTCGATGTATTTTTGTTCATTCTATATATTGTGGTATATTCGGTACGAATTATTTCCAGACCCCGTCGAATCGAATCACGATTTATCGACGCTATTGGCGAATTCAATGTTGAGTGGATTTGATTGGCTCTTACAGAAACATATATTCAACCAATCACAACTCCAGCGTGATTCAAGATTGACTAGATAAATAGTGCGAATTTTGCAAGTTTATTGCGAATTCACAATAGCGTTGCCCATTTGATATTGTTTTCATTCAATTCCGTGGATCCATGATGAGGACTACTAGTATTGATTGTCATTTGAGTTAAAATACCACATTTGGTGGTTTTTGTGCCAAATCCACCCAGTTGGCTTTGTGTACGGAATATGTTGATGGTCCTGTGGTGATATTCTTGACACTAATTGAAGCCATACACGAATTCGATGGTGAATGGTTGAAGAGTGAGTTTGATTGGTCCGTTATTGAATCGTGTTTTGGGTTTTGATTGGTTTGACCGATTTAGCCTATTTCGAATCGCGTCGACAATACTTACTAGTAGCGTTTGTGAATTTCGACAACACCAAAGTATATATATATAAATATATTTACGAATGACGGGGTAACTAGAATATTTTCAAAACGTTCGTCGAGCGAAGTGGTATGGCAGTGGTCAAGCAGTTCGAGCACCACGACACGATGCGCCACCCGGAAGAGTACATTGAAGCGCTGGTGGCCGTCCGGGACCAGTTTTATGACGTGGCCAAGCGCGCCTTTGGCTTGGATCCGCTCATGCGCACGGCGTTGGATCAAGTACGACCTGTATATGATACAGTAGGATGGAGTGAATTTCGAGGCCCCGTTCAAATATATCGACCAACCCGATCATGAATCGCTCCCATTGGTCACTTGTGTAAAAGGATGGGCAAACTCGTCGCTGATTGGCTACATTTAAATTTTATCTTTTGTACTTGGTACTTTTAGTGGAATGGGAAAAACCAATGAAAGGTGCGAGGCGAATTTTGGGATCGGTGTTACGAATCGCGCTGAAAATGGGATATTTGTTGCAAATTCATAATAGTTATATGGACTATATGCTGGAGTAAAGTGTTCGAGAGGGAGAATGGACTGACAGTTCCACGTGGTTTGCGGGTTGTTCATTCAAATTGGCATGTTTTACGGATACCTACCTGTACAAAATCCCTCCGGTTGCGTATATATATACCCTCTTTTGACAATGCTGCTTTTGTTGTACCCGTGATAATATTATTGGAGCTAACATAGAGGTAGTATGTGTGACCAAGTTGCTTGTATAGGCGTGCCGATCATTTACAAATTCGCACCCGTCGCTGCCCGAGCTACTGGCCAAGTACACACACGTGTTGATGACCCAGTCGGCCAAGTACGCGAGTGACGAGTGCATTGAGAAGCGCGTCGAGTACGTCGGCGTTGTGTTTTGCCTGTTAGACGACAAGGACGTGTTCAAAGCCATGTATTCCAAGCTCTTGTCGAAACGGTTGATTCAAGGTCTATATATATATATATATATTATATATATATTGATAAACGGTCGTAGGCGGAGCCATGTCAATGGACGTGGAGCTGTCTCTAATTCAAAAGCTGAGGGACATTTGTGGATGTGAGTTTGTGTCCAAGCTCCAGAAAATGTTTTCAGACAAAATCATTAGCACCGTACGTTTTTTTGTATATAGGATTGGACAATTTGAATTCTTTATTTTATTATGGTTGTGTTTGCTGTAGAACGCACATTTGGCATACAAGATATGGAAGGAAGAACGTGACCAACTTGGGTCGTCGACGGTGGAGTGTTGGTTCGATGTGCTCACTGCTGGCGTGTGGCCAATTCCGACGCCGACGCAAGACATCGAGTTAAAGCTACCCGCCGTGTGCCAGCAACAGGTGCACCTGTACGCAACTTTCTACGGCACGCAGAGCACTGGACGACGGCTGCACTGGGTGCACCACATGTCCCACGGGGTGCTGCGCATGGTGTTGCCGTCTCGCTCGTTTGAAGTCCACGCCAACTACCACCAACTGGTCATGCTACTCTTGGTAAGGACGCTGCTATTTCTATGAGATATTTGACGTGGAGTCCTAGTACAATACCCGAGACTCGTGCTCTGTAAACGAATTGACAACCCTCACGGGGTTCTCGAAAACAGACATTCAGTACCACATGCAACCCCTCGTCAAGGTAAACACAATATATATATATATATATATTACGATAGTATATTTTATATGTACCCTGTAGCTCAAACTATTCAGTGCCAACAACCAACACGATGGGACCTCGGCCGAGGCTTTGTCGTATTCGCTCAACACGATGTTTACGTCGAAACGATCGCATTTGAAGGTAGTTTCCGTCATATCTTTATATATATATATTTATATATATTCATCACGAAAAGTAGGTATTGCCAAAGTATACGCAATTGAGTGCGCCAAAAGCTAAAGCGGCCGCGACGTCGCACGAATTGTCCGATGACCGCAAGATGACAATGCAAGCTGCGATCGTGCGCATCATGAAAGCCCGGCGCGAGTCCACATTTGCCAACCTCCTCTCGGAGTCGGCTCAGATGCTGGCCATGCAATTTGTCCCGACACCAGCCTTCTTGCAGCAGAACCTAGACATCCTCGTGGACAAGGAGTACATTCGTCTGGCCCCACAACAACTAGAACATGCAGACTCGGCCACTCCACCCGCCGCCTCGCGAAGTCTCGCTGCCGTGTACATATACGTAGCCTAATAGTTTGATATATTTGCTGCAACCAATATAAATGGTACTAGCGTAATTGTATTGATTTATTATCGATCTAATGAAATATTTGTATCTGTCGATATATATTTCAAGGTTGGTTGCAGACAGTGCACGACTACCACAAATACAAGATCCGATAACTATTAATAGGACAGTCTTGTACAAGCTAACGGCGTATTTGTCGGACTGTTGCATCCATTGCCTAACATAACCATATATATATATTTCTTTGTTATATATATCGTCGTTCCATGCATATTTCAAAAGATGCCTTGTGTCAATCCCTGTTTCAGTCGTAGGTACAGGACTTCGACAAATCCAGCATTCGAATGCGAGCTTAGTTTCAGTCGTAGGTGCAGGGCTTCGACAAATCCAGCATTCGAATGCGAGCTTCCCTTCATCAAGTTTCAGTCGTAGGTGCAGGACTTGGACAAATCCAGCATTCGAATGCGAGCAGCTTACACTCATATGTACTAGTATCACCACTATAGTCGAAATAATCTCAAAATTCTACACGATGCTCTACACCAGACGATGGTACTCTCGCGATCGGGTGCGATGCTTCAAGTACAGCACGCCCACCATGAGCCCCACTGCGAAAATGGTAAAATAGCTGAATGCCGACACGATCGTAAACGTGAGCGACGTGGCCATCGCATTGCTTTGCAGCGCCTCCTGCGGCGGATTGTACGCGTCCTTGGCCGGCCACGCGGCGTAGTTGGTCGACTGGAGCCACCATGCAGGGTACCCCGGCACATGCATGTCCCCCGACCGGTCGCCGTCGATCACATACCCGTCGTTGAACTTGCCCACGAGGGTAAACGCCAGACTCCACCACCGATCCACCATCTTCTGGGCGAATTCGTTGTTGCGGCGCTCGATAAAGTCGACGCGGGCTCGGGTGTCCGTCATGTTTGCTACCTCCACGACCGTGGCTGCCTCGAGCGCAATGGCTTCGTCCTGGATCTGGTCCAGCACTGGCTGGATGTGCTTGTGCATCAAGTCGTACCGCAGATTGCTCCAGTTGTTGACGAATTGAAACGCCCACCACGCGCCCGCTGTGTCAAATTGGTGCCGCCGCGACACCAAGTACGAAGATGGCACGCTGTGCTGGGCACACGAGAACGGCGCGTACACCGACCCGTGGGGCGCACCGAGGGAGTACCAAGCGACGCCGCCGACGTCGTCCGGGAGGTGTCCTCGTGCCTGCAGCACAAAGCTGTGCGTCGTGCGATGCATTGAGATGGAGCGCTCCCAGCCGCCGTCCACGCCCTTGTTGGATCCGCCGAACCGCACGGGACTGCCAAACGGCCCCGACGCCGCGTCCTTTGTCATGTCGTACGGAGTGCCTTCGTAGTGGTCGCGCATGATGTCCATGAGCCGCTTCGGGGTGACCTTCTCGTCCGGCGTGACGGAAAACGGGTACGTTTTCACTTGCGGGTGCTGGCCCAAGGTCGCGTCGAAGTGCTTGGAGGGCGCAAACACGTCGTAAATGCGCCAGATGCGTCGACCGCCGTACAGAGGCTTGGTCGGTCCTGGCTTGGCCCACGAGTACGCGGCGGAAAAGTCGAACGGTCCGGTCGCCGGATCCCACCATCCCATGTCCCTCGCGAACGATTCCACGTTGGCCGACGCCATGAAATGGTCCGAGTCGTCCAGGTTGAGCGTACGGATGACAAACGAGTTGGCCACCACGGCCATATCCTCGTCGGGCACGCGCTGGGCCGCCCACACGGCGCTGCTGTTGTTGGGACCGGTCAAGATGTGGAAGATCCACGATTCGCCATACTTGTCGGAAATGCCCAGCGCTTCCGACGAGCTTCCGTAGTTCGCGCGCTGATTCTTGCCATATTCCCCGAAAAAGCCATGGGTTTCGGCCAAGTCCCCCATAAGTTTGATGGCGCACCGAGCACTGTCGCATCGCTCCAACGCCACTTTCGACAGCTCCTCAATGCCAAACAAGTTGTGGCCATAATGCAGCGACTTGGGCCACCCCACAGTTTTGGCGGCGCACGTGCTCTCGGCAATGCTCAGTTGGACGTCGTTGATCATGCCATAGTCGTGGTCGAAGTATCCATGTGTGTACGGCACTTGAGGGATTTGTCCGATGATTTCTGACAGGGGCTGGTCATCCACAGGCTCGTACAGCGGACCGCGTTGCATAGTGACTAGACGCGGGTACCCATTTCGTTGAAAGTTGAAGACGTGTCGCACAGCCCCGTCCGAGTGATTCATCGCAGGAACGCGTACCATGCGCAAATCCGCAGGGTTCAAGCCAGCGTCGTTGGTGTGTGTCAGCATGACAGACCCATCCGCTGTGGCCTTCTTCCCTACGGCGATCACAGTGCATCCATCAGCCCCTGTGGCCGCAAGCACAGCCAGCGTTAAAATCGCCCACATCGTCATTGTCGACCGAGAAAAATCCCAAATGAGTGTTGACCACTTCAACCGACAATGGAAATCCGGATAATAGGAGCACAGTTGAAGTGGTCCAATTATACTAACTGTAAGTCCGAACTTTGAGGGTACTTTATTGACAAGTTGATACATTATGCGTATACTATAAATGAAGTAAGTACCTCCTCGAAGGGAAGTGTTTGCGTGGGTACCGGAATATTGAGCAGAGATATCAGTCAGTTGTCTAATTAATCTGGGTAGAATGTGCCATCCCTGGTGGCACAATCTACAGTCATACTGTATTCGATTTAGCTCTCGTCTTACAGTAGTTAACGCCATGTATTACAGTCATTACTTTTACAGTTGATATACTCCCGATTTTGTAACGTAAAATACTAGGGTAATACCAAAACCCACGTGTGAATACAGTATGGTTTTCCCATAACGTAATCCAACTCCGCGGCAATCACCGTGGTTTCAGTGGCGCTTGCCGAATCTGACCTAGTTACGAATGTCAGTTCGTCGGTGGATGCGAGCTCTCGCGCATGCTGATTTGTCCTAATCTACGGGCGCCACAGTTGAAGAGCTGTGGGTAAGCGCTGCCTGAGCTACTGCAATACCCCAGCATGTACTTCACACGTCGATCCACGGACCCGCGCCATCGCAAGCTGACCAAGCACCAGGTACAAGATGTCGTTCAAACTCAAGCCAGAGTTGGAACAAGGATAAGTTGGCCAAGTCCGTGCATACTCCAAAGTGAAATCACATGGTGCATCATTTCTAAGCCGTGAACTACAATTAATCATCAATCACACATTTATGTGTGATGTGCCTTAAGCGGGATATACTTTCCAATCGCCAACTGTGCTTCTGCTCGTCTTGCTTGATTGTCCGATGAAAACGCAAACCCCGAGTGTTGCGAGTCATTCGATAGGATCTTGACCGTCATGCTTCGGCGCTTGGACACTGGAATGACACTGGAGAGTTTTCTCGCATTGCCATTGGGCTTGTGGTGCACCATTCGCTGGCGACGGTCGGAAGGGGCATAGTTCCAAGTGAGGAGGTCCAGCGGCAAACCAAACGTCGCCACTTCCATGGCGAGTTGGTTGTACTCTGGGTAGAGCTCGCTTTTCATGGCCTTGCAAACATACGTTGGCAGCAAAAACGTGATCGGAGCAAAGAGCAGCAAACACCACGACGGCACTAAGCAGGACATGCTGGCCATCATGTCCATCCATGGCCATCCCGACACAAGGTACCAGTTGGACGCGATGGTCGCAATCGAGATCCACAACAAGATCGATATCGCGTACAACACGACGTTGATGCCTAGCCACGAGTTTTGAAACAACGTCAACTTGATCGTGACCACGACCATCACGAGCGAAAACACGACGTTGCCCACGAGCCACATGCCAGGGGACTCGGACGAATGGCTTGAGTCCCGAAACGACCACATCACCGTCAGCGTAATCGCGACCGATTCCCCCAACGCAGACGCCACCCACGCAGAAAACACAGATGCGTTTAAGAGGTCGTTTTGGGGGCCAGCCACGTATAGCTTTGGAAAGTTCACGGCCATGGTATCATGCACGTCTTGGTCCAAGATCGCCAGGCACAGGATCGGGTACGACGTGAATAGGACATTGTACAGCTGGACAATCGACTCTAAAAAAAACTTTTGCCCGGAGAACCCACTCATCCACGTATACGTGTACTGCGCCGCCGTGAGCATAATGTTCTTGTAAAACATGTACAGCACCAGCTGCGACATTCGCATGTAGTTCCATCGACCATGCACGAGGATGAGCCGGCCTAGAAAGCTGAAGCGGGCGATGGCGTAATCGCTGGCGTTCACAGCTTGGAGTCCTTCTTGGCCTGAAATACCCACCCCCACGTGGGCTTCCTGGATCATCGGAACGTCGTTGGCGCCGTCTCCTATGGCCAACGTGCGAACGCCGGGGATGTTGTCCTTGATCAAAGCGACCATTTCCGCTTTCTGACCAGGCGACACTCGGCACGCTATAACTGCTTTGCAGAGCTGGGAAAACTCCAACAACGCGGTCCGACAGGACCCCCTCAACGCGTGAATCAAACTGTCGCCGTCGATCACAAGGGCCACGTCCACGAATTCGTCTGCCGATGAACCCTCTTTGCACAACACAGCCACTTGCAACAGCAGCTCAGCCTCGATTTTCTGCGCCGAGTCAAACAGCGTCGAGTTAATTACCACGCGTCGCATGCGACTGTGCAGCAAGTTGCATGCAAACCCAATGTTGATGGCCGTTTCCTCCTTGTCGCCCGTGAGCACCCATATCTTGATCCCGGCTTCGGCCAGCGAGGCAATTGTAGCCGGAACGCCAGCCTGAAGTTTGTCTTCGATGGCCGTAGCGCCGAGAAGGTCCAGGTCTGTTTCCAGTTCCTCCATGCACTCGTCGATTGCATTGGGCAGTTCGCTCTTTTGCTTATCCATTTCTTCGAGGTTGTTGAGCGCGTCGTGGTACCGTCCGCTCCATTCTCCGTAGAAAGTCGCGTCCACTTGCTTGGACGCGATCGTGAGCGTGCGGAGGCCTTCGGCGGCAAAGCTGTTGATGTGCTGGGTCGTGTGTGTCACCATCTGGGCATCGTTCTGAGCTTTGAGCCGTTCAAACACCACAACGTCGGCGCCCTTAGTCAGCACGAGGATGTCGCCGTCGGGAGTTTTCACCACGGTGGACATGCGCTTTCGTGCACTGCTAAACTCGAGCACGTCCAGCAATTCGTACTGTACGTCCTGGCCCCGCACTCGAACTGACACCTTGCCTGGCATTCGGTTGATAAACTCGTAACCAAAGAAAGCGGCGCCACTCACCAGCGCCTGCTCATCCGGAGATGACGCCGACAGCGTCACTTCAGTCGTGCCCTGGCGATACTCTGGAATCACAGTGTGGCAAATGGCCAAATGCAGAAAGAACCGGTGAATGCGCTCTTTCTGGTCAGCGCCACCCGACCCTGCCATGTGCTCGTACAGCTCGACCCCGTCAAAGTTGACATATGGCACACACTTCGCTTTGGTTGAATGATGCTTTTCCTCGGCTATTGCAGAAAACGAGCCATCATTTGCTGCGCGCTGCTGCGCCGCCAGTCCGATTTCGGTGGTCCCGTGGCCATACGATACCCCTCCAATGGAGCACTTGCGGAACTCCATGATGTTGCACGTCAACGTGCCAGTTTTGTCGGAGAAGATGTACGAAATCTGGCCCAGTTCTTCGTTGAGTGACATGGTGCGCACGAGCGCGGGCGTGTCTGTGTCGTCATGATACATTTGTACGTCCCACTGAAGAAATATCGACTGTACGTGCTTGACCATGGTCATGGACACGTACAGCGAGATGGGAATGAACTGGTACATGAGCAGGAAAAAGTAAAAGAACATGACCACCCACGACGACTGCGATGGCGTTTTCCCATGGATGTACCACGTGTGGGAGTTTTTCGTTTCCCACAGCACGCTGCCAGTCGCGCCCACCGCGCAGCACACAAACAGCACACACACCAATGCGACAATGTATCGGTTGATGGACACGTCCATGGAGCTCATCTTGGACGGCGTGCTCGTGTTGTTCATCATGATTTTCGTGTCTTGGCCAGTGTTGACCACCAAACCAAGCACCCAGTCCGTGTTGCGGATCGTACAGCCACGTAAAAGGATGCTCTTGTGCGCAATGGACTCCTTGTCGCCGCTGTCGAGGTGCAGCACGCCTTGGAACGTGTTGATGCCGTTGTTGGGGTGTTCGCATTGGATCATGCCCTTGAGTGCCAAGAGGGAGCCGGGGGACTGACACTTCGTCATGGTGCACTGTATCGCCTGGCGAACTTTCATGTTGGTTTCGCCGTCCAAGCTCTTGGTTTCCACGTAGCACAGCCCCGTGGGCGGCGTTGACGGCTGTTCTGCCACCGCGAGGATGACTAGATCAGCAGGCACTTGGTCCCTGTTGCTCAACTTGACAATATCGCCGACACGCAGGTCTTTCCACTCAATGGCCTTGAACTGCTCGATTTCCTTGGCCAAGGCACGGGTGACCCTCGAATTGGCCACGGCGTCTGCAATGTGTCGCTTTCGGTCCTCCAGGACGGCGAAGATGGCGTCGATGACCATGATGAAGAGCAATGTGGGGGCGGTGGAGGGCAGTCCGTTGGTGTTGCTGATGGACGGAATCACTTGCATCATGGACACGACGAGAAAGTACGCGTTGGCAAACTTGCGGAACGTCTCAAACAAAAACTTGGGCACGAACGTGACGGCGGTGTACTTGGAGGTCACGACCACGTTGTCGCAAAACGCGCTCTCGGCATTCTTGGCCGCGTCATTGAGGTAGATCTTGCGGTATTCCCCGAGGTTCTTGGTGCTGTGACTCATCCCGATCAAGCGATCGCCCTTACTATCTATCGACCACACCCAACCACGTGAAACGGCTGTCGTCGCACCATGACACGTGTGACGAAACCGTCCACGAAACTGTCCACGAAACCGCCAATACGTACTACGTAGTAGTAAAGCTTAGTACTTTCCTGTTCGTATTGGTACTGTAAGCGTTGAATGCCTAGAAGGCCAATTGTTGCAATAACACTTTTGTTTTTTCGGTGACTATGTGACATCGTTTTGGAATCCTGAAATGTCCTAAATCGTACACAATTTACAAGGTAATCGAACTGTAAGTTTGGTCGAGCCGTGGCGTTGATTTTATAAAAATATAACATCCACCTGTCTCTATCATATAATTCCATAATAACGCTATTATTAATATTGCAAAGTCTCTGCAGTTATATGATTATCAACGCTCTGAGCTTAAACAACCAACGACACATCCCAAACGGTCTGGACAACGGCCACGCGCAAGTCCGTGCCTCTCACAAGGTACGTACATAAGCACCACAAGTGCTGCTTGTTTTGCACAAGGTCCGCCAGTCGGTTGGTCAGAGTCGCCTTGGAGTTGTCACCACCACCACGATGCACCCTCGTAAAGAACGTTTTCTACGTCTCCAATCAATAACATGTTGATGACGAAGCAAAGCAAACACTACTGCGTGTAGTCCGTGTAAAATGGCGTCCACGCTCGCAGAACTGTCTTGCAAACGAAGTACACAGCTGAACGCACTTGGTCCCGGCCTGGGTGGACAACCAACCACCCCCGATTACAAGATGATAGCATTGAGATTGATAATTACGTCGAGGAAATGGGCAAATCGGACACCCACACGTCGACAACTTGCGCTGAACAATATGCCATGCGTGGAGGCTAAGAAATAGTACAAGTCATGTATATAGATAGGTGAATAAAGCACACACTGTTTCACTTGTTACCTGCAGCGTTAGCAACTCGGCTAGCTTTAAAGTAGGGTACGGCTGCTGCTGCTGATGATGCGCCGAGGTTGGTGGGGGCTGCACCACCGTGGAGGATCGCTTCCGCCTCAGTGGCTCGGATCTACGCCATGTGATTTGAACCAACGGATACCTTGAATATATTAATCACACATCCCTACCTCTCGAGCGCATGGCGGACTTCGTAGAGGTAGTTTGGTAAGATTTCCACGGTCGAATACGCTCGAAAGTGAAATGCCATCGCACCGTCGTCTTTTAACTCTAGTTCCACCGCTCGCAATTTGACCCACTGGAGTCCCGCCGCTGCCGCCGGCACCAGCCAACGAGATGTCAGCATCGCCCAATCGACGTGGACGTGCACTGGAATCGTAGTCTCGTCGTCATGGCCGTCGCTGATGTCGAGGGTTCCCTACAAGGGGTAGTCGTGGTCAATATCGAGAGTACAGATTCATATGTGAGTGGCCAAGTATATATATGGTCAAGACGATTCGACAGTTGGAGAGGGATGCTCCATCGAATCAGCAACACCAAATCGGCTGACAATCGATCGACCAATCAAAACCCAGAGCTACTTGATTCGTGACACGAATCAAGTAGCCAATCAAGTCACACTCGTCGACCAGTACAACATTGAATTAGTGTAATACTAGACCATTTTTACAAAGAATCGATCGATCGATAGATTTTGGCGAATCAGCACAAAATTCCAATTTCGGGTAAAAGGACAATATATATATGTATATATATTGATCGTACGGAATCAGATGTGGTGGTATTTTCGGGTTGGGAGATGTGAATCACTTTTGCGAGAATATCTACGATATCCCGAGATTCTAAGCTCTTGCACTGGGCCAAGTGAATGTAGCCTTTGGTGTTTCGGGGAGGTAACGTCGTGTCGACTGCCAACGTTTGCTTGGACCAGGTCCTAGAAAAAATATAATATTTATCATGAAATATAATATTGTGCTTATCAAACATATTTGCCAAGTTTTGAAATCGCCAACAAATCGAACAAAGCAGTATGATTGGCCAAAACAAATGAAGGTTGCATTATGATTCGCTAATAAAAATATATCCATGCTGTCCCAAAAAGACTTCTTAAACTTAGTTTGATATCACATTTCAAAGGTTCGGCGATTTCATTCAACAAACAACCGCTATAGGAAATATTGAGTAGAGCACACAATGCTATATAGAACCATCCCAACTGGTACATATATATATACATTACATGAGCGCGAGGCATCGGTCGTAGTCGCTCGATGTAAACACAGTGGGTTTAGTGGTCGCGGCATGTAATAGCTTTAACGTGCCGTCATGATCTTGGCGAATAACTGCGTTTACGGACACTGTAGATGAGCTAGCACACCGCGTCGGTCGTGGGCTTGACTATATACATAATAGGAATCCTCGTCGTCGTACCTAGTACCGACGTCGTGGTGGTCGTACTTGTTTAAAATGAGCTTGTGAATGCGTAGGATATCCCCAATGCACTGCATTGACGTATATGAAATATATCAACCCTCCGTCGATGGAATGGTAGTACCAATATATTTGGCAGGAGCTCCACCGTCGCCGCAAACACATTCACGTACAGCGCTTGGCTGCGCAGGGGCCGGCTTTCATCGATCAGTGACACTGTCATCTACAAGTACTCGTGGTGTGTATATCGTGAGCACGATGAAGGATAAACCTCATAGTCTCTACGACCGTTGTCGCAGAGTTTTGGTTTGGTGTACGACGACACGACGCCGTAGATGTTGCCTTGGCTTGAAATGCAAGACAACGGCGAGTAAAAGTGAATCTTACTCTCGCAAACACCTCGCAGCCCTCGGTTGTTGGGTTTCTACCTAGGGATTAGCAGCCATCGAGTTGTATCATCATTCATATACCTTTTGGTGGGGTAGTCCACTAGGTGCAGCAGCAGGAACTCCTTGAACGGATCAATATCGATATATTTCAATATATTACGGATTCATTGGATATATACAAGGTACCTTCAACCGTAGCCGAAGTAACCACTTGTTCCAGGGCGTACACGATGGGGCTGGCGCTGTTGGCTCGCGTTGCTGCTTGGTATTTCAACTCGATGGCCATGGCGGTGTCGTCGCGGGACCATTGACCCATGAGCTCGCATCGACTGAGCAAGCTGCGCTCTGCGACCACCACAACCGCAGACTCGGCGTCGGCCTCGTACGACGATTCGGTGTCCGCTTCCATCTGGATCAGGCCATGTCCAGCCAAGCTGACCTTGAACTATCCGTGGCATTAGAGTCTGTACTCATGACAAGCAACGCGATGGGAAACGTACATGCTGGACGAAGTGCTGGACATGGTCCGCCCACGAGTCGTAGAAGTGCACGTATATTCGTCGCGGGTGCATGTTCTCGCTCCATGGACTTGTGAGGATTTCAGTCAGCTCCATGGACACGACCCGTGACGCGACTCTGGCGCATGGACCACCTCCGATGTCAAATGGACTCGCAGGCAACGGGAGGGAGCGCAACGGCCACACATTCTTTACGCGGGTGTTCTGCAGCCACGGCTCAACATCCATCTCATAAAAGCAACAAGGACAACATGGTTGTTTGTATTATTAATAGTAGTACTATTATACGTATACTAGTAGTATGTATTACTAGTAAGTAGTATACTTCACTCGACAGTAAGTACTGTACATACAAATGTAACGTAAAAGTCCAATTTAAGAACACTTTTTCAGCGACGCTGCCGTGGAAGACATGTAACTCGCTACAATTTGTTACATGAAGCCAAAATCCAGGCCTATTCGGGAGTTATGAATGCGATATGATTCCTGTTATAATTCATTATCATTCACTACACTTTGTCCAAAAAGAGCTTAAAACAAGCGGTCCAATTTAAGGTGCACCATTTTAAGCTTAGTCTTTGTATACCCATTTGCATATTTTTGGGCGGTTAGGTTAAAAACTGCCTTTGTAGGGATTGATTGGCTAACTCACGTGCACCTTAAATTGGATCGAGCACCTTAAATTGGACTTTTACGTTAGATACAGTTAGTATGTTTCCAAAATGAGTAGTATTACTACAGTTCTAATGACACCATGTTTTTTTCTATCAGATTGGATCGTCAAGGCCATCGGGTTGTGCGATGATCACAAGGAGTAGCAACAGCCGGAGCATGGACGACCTGTACTCACCCTTGTCCAGTCGAAGGGTGCTCATCCCAGCAGTGTCCACGTCCTTCTACCTGAGAAGCCCCGATCGGAAGCAGCTTACGGTCATGGACAAGATAGTGTTCTTCTCGTTCAAGACGCCATGCATCTTGTATTGGGTTGGCGGGCTTGCGTTTCTCGTCAGCTCCATCCTGTTTTACCCGTTCTTCAATGCACCGCAAGACCCCGAAGGTATGGGCGACGCCATTGGCAGTCGTGGCTTCGTGTTGGGGTCACTGACGTTTCTTGTCGGCAGTTGTATCGAAGTGTACCATGCCGTTCCAGGTCGAGCCATGAGCTCGCACGGCCTGCTTCAGTGGGCTCCGATCTTGTCGAGCATGATGAACACCGTTGGGTCAGCGCAGTTTGTTGTAGGCAGCTTGTACTTCATGCCCGTCCACTACGACGCGCATCCGTCCCTTGGCTGCAGCCTCTTCATCAGTGGGTGTCTGTGCTTTTGCTTGTCCATCTTGACCGACTTTACGCGGTTTTCCACGTCCGAATTGAGCGCGGCGTTCCAATGGGGCGACCTAGTCAGTGTGTGGTTTCTCGCGGCCGTCGTGAACTTTGCAGGCAACCTGCTGTTCATTTCCGGGTGTTACTTTTACCTGCCGCAGTTCCTCCAAGTTGGCGACCCCGCCATCGCCGCCATGAATCTCACGTTTGCAACCAACCAGTTTGTCGTCGGCTCGCTTTGCTTTGCCCTTGCGCCGCTCCTTCAGATCTACAACATCAACCACGACATCAACCGCAAGTCGATTTGCTGCCGTGCAATCAAGTAGACAAACCTCATGTTGGCTAGTTGACAGGAAATGCAAAACTTGACATGTTCTTGATCATTCGTCGTCTCGATTTCCAGTGATCATCGAATCTTGTCCTATTACGGTGGGTACCTACTGTACGAACGGAGCACTTCAAGTGGTTGTATATGCCACCGGTGGCTTTAGTAAAGTTACCTCACAAACAGTCCCTATTAACCCCCCACAGTACTAGTCAATCGTCTGCAGTGCCATCATAACGTTTGAACCAAAACTAAAACCCGTCGCAGCAGCAGCAGCTTTACAACAGTGGATGCGCCATCCATGTAGAGGATCCAGCAGTAAGTAGTGTTTGGGGGGGCTGAAACGACCAAGTATTTCTATTATTTCTACTGCAGTACTATTATTATTATTATTGGGACACAATAGGATCAAAATTCGTTTGATCTATGTATACGAACGACATACACTATACTGTAGAACCAAACTGTCCCTGTGTAAATGAATCAGCCTATTGTATTATATTACAAAGGTATTCACACTTGCCCCAAATTGAAATGCCAGGTCAAAGGTCGCGATGGCAACGAGTGGTCTATGTATGTATGCTCACATGCGAGATATGTGTTCGACTAGATTGTGTGACCTGTATGTAACGTTAGGTCTATCGTAGCACGTGCTCTGACCGAAAGTGGCTCCTTGATGTACTTTTGTAGGAGACTCGAGATGACGACGCAAGGTCACAGAGTCTGCATGACTCATACTTGTACAACGCAAGGTTGTGGAGGGCGTCAAGATATATGCAGTTACGCGAATGCGCGATAGATTGATAGTAGTCTGGCGGGTGTGTTCATTCGGTTTGGTTTTGGATCCACTAACTACTATTAGATGGTTCCACCAGTTGTGGAACCATTATGGCTGTCGTGGTTGGATCCTTTCGTGTGGTGTTCGGAAGTCGGCGGACGTGCAAATAGTTGCTTCTTGTGGCTATCGCTGCATTGGTCTGATGTACGTACGTTCCCCGTGTCCAGGGGCACATTGAACCAATCTACCAAGGCATCTATATGCATATGTCGCCCCCAGTCGACCACCGCTCTGCCTGCACAAAAAAGACCAATACCTACTGCAATCGTACAAGTATGTCTACTCTCGGTGTATATGGTCCAGCCCGTCCAACCTGTGTATCTTGTACATCGTTTCCTATTGAATTTGCCGCGAGTGGGGGGGGGGAACAGGCACGTGAATAGATCGAGGGGGCGAACAAGTAACTTGGTCAAGGATACTGTTGTTCATTAGGCTAGTCAAGGGCTAAAAGTAACGCAAGGTACGAAGCTTGTTCCCTACACATGGCTTGCCTTTTCAATTGCCAACAGTTCGACTTCAAACACGAGGTCGGCCTTGGGCGGAATCCCCTGACGCCCTTGCTCTCCGTACGCTAGCTGGTACGGGATACTCAACCGCGCCACTTGTCCAATGCTGAGTTGCGGAATGCCTACATGATATACATGTTATAAAGGTGGACATGACATACATCCTCCTCCTACTACTACCTTCTTCCCATCCGCGAATCACCGACTTGGACCCCAACGTGAAGGAGAACGGGTTGTTACGATCTCGGGACGAATCGAATTTGTCTCCGCTTACAAACGTCCCAACATCTAATGATTGATGGTCACTTGTGAAGATGCGAACAAGTTGGGGATATTATATATCTGGCGGCCTTACAATGCACAGTGACTTTGTCGCCGGCCGACGGGTAGGTCTCGCCGTCCCCTGGAGTGATTTCCTGAATGGACACCTTGGGGCTCATTTGCACGCCGTTGATCGCAATGAGGTGGACGTCAAAGATCAAGTCGGCATTGGGTGGAATCACGTCGCCCGCGCCGGACGCGCCGTAGCCCAGTTGCGATGGAATGTACAGACGCGCCGTTTCATTCAGCGACATCTTCGCCACGCCTTCGTCCCATCCTTTGATCACCTCGCCCACACCCAGGTTGAATCGGAATGTATCGGTTCGATCAAAGCTGGAATCAAATTTGGCACCTGTGGAGGCAAGCGTTCCAACATCTACCGACGTCACAACGGTGAGAAGTAAATTGGCAGCGTACTCGTACACAGTTCACGGTGACAGCGTCCCCTCGTTTGGGGTATGTGGAACGATCACCATCGTACACAACTTCCACGACGAGGGACGTGAACGTTTCTGCCGCCGACGACTTGTTCAACGTCACCGGCGAGGAGAATGACGTCGACACGTACTGCGCAGTCACAAAGAAGCAGAAGACTACCCCCAGGGCGAGGGCCTTCGGACGCCATGCCCTGCCGCCACGGTAAGCCTTGTCGCGAGACCGCGCTTGGTCCTCTGATTCATACAATCCCATTGTCGATTGTCTTTCCAAATGGGCAAAACCCTTGCAGACTACATACTTGCAACAAATAAATACTCATTTACAAAGGGTTTCATGAAACCGTCGGTGAGTTGTAAAACTCAAAAGTACATCAGCCATGAGCGATGAAGCCAGTGCGATGGCTATTAAGTTGGGCCTCCGCAGTGCCTACACGCATGACTGGAAGGCCAACACGTACCACGACAACGCGTGCGACCTGTTCTCGACAGTACCGTCGGTGCCGGCGGCGGCACGAAAGCGGCAGAAGCCAGGTAAGCGACATGCCAATCCCGTCACCGCCGCCGCTGGCGTCATGGAGCTGGTGGTTGGCAAGCCAACTCACAACAAGTCGTCGAACCTACGCAGCAGTGACCGCGCATCGCCACAAGCGGTGACAACGCCTCCACCCTTTGTCATTGGTGGTCCCCATCTTCCACCATCACTTGTGCAAACTAAAGAACGACGAAGGCCCCACTATCAGAAAAATCAGGTCGCCCCGTTGGTGTCTTCCACACAAATCGAAAAGCCCGATGGCGACGACTCGATCGCAGAGCCGTTTCCAAAGTCGAACCCTTCATCCAGGCTAGACACGACACACGACATATCAGGTGAGAGGAGCAGAGCGACCAGCCGCGTCGACTCCAGGCAAAGCAACGACGACGAGTACAAGCCACTCCGTCCAGACTCGGACATGGACAACACCAGCAGGCGCACTAGTGAAATCGACGAGGCTTCTATTATTTGGGATCAACCGACGCTGTTGCGGTACGTGGGATGCTATCCTATTCATTCTGCTGCTAGTTCACCATCCAACGCTCTCAGGTCCATCACACCAACGTCCAAGTACTACGAAAACTGCGAACGGGCGAGCATTCTTCCCGAACCCATTATCCAAAAAGCCCTCGCGTGCAAAGATGGCATTTTGAATCTCAGGTGTGAGTTCTGTTCAAGTATTACTAGGATATACTAACTGTATGTATATGCGGCGATGCCTCGCACTCGTGTAGTTCGTACAGCATGGGAGACACGCTCTTGCTCGCGTTGTCGGAAAGTTTGGGCGACATTACGTCGCTCTGCAAGATCAACTTGAAGGTACGACCACCAGGATGGATCGCTTAAAGTCAACCGTGGCCACCAGGACAACCGACTTAGCGACCACGGCATCTCGACCATCGTCGGCGGCCTCGTACGCAGTCGCGTGCGCGAACTCGACTTGTCGCGAAATTATTTCAACGCCAAGGGCATTGCACACATTGCGCCGCTGCTGACGTCCCCGTCATCGCCCCTCATGGATCTCGTGAGCGTGATCACATTTCACGGCCGAAAAAACGCAATTGAAAGTTCCCTCTATGTAGAATTTGGAAAACAACAGGTTGGGTGACAGAGGCGTCGTCGTGTTGGCGGCGGCGGTGGCAGACAGTCGGAATTTAACTCGACTCAACCTCAGGTACACAAAACCACGACTTGGCCTTAGTATGTTTGATTCGATTGACCAGTGTTCAACGGTCCTAGTCGATGCAACATTGGCCATCAAGGCGCGTCGGCGCTTGGCAACGCCCTGTGTGAAAACACGTCTTTAATCGAACTCTTCCTCTCGTGGAACAAAGTGCGCGGCAGTGGCGCCACCAAACTGTCCCAAGGACTCCAGCTCAAGTACTGAAGCATTCACTCGCTCGTTTCCAACCACTGGACGTTGTGAGCGTGTAGTGTGCGGTTGGAAACGCTGGATCTGTCGTGGAACTCGATTGGGTCGGTGACGTCGTCCGAGGCGCTGCGGGCCATGTGCACGACTCTGGCCGAGAACAACGTGTTGACCCACTTGGATTTGAGCCACAACCGCCTGCTAGAGAAGGACTGCCAGCTCGTGTCCAACGCTTTGCGGGGCAATTCGAGCCTTCGCGGACTGCACATTGGAGGCAACGACGTTGACATTGACGCATATGGGGTTGTGTTTCCAGATGCCGCCCAGAACGACCCGGCGAGCGCGCACATTTTTTCCCGTTTTGGGGGCAACTCTGCCAGTAAACCTGCGTGGGAAAAGAGGAGCAACTGCTGGATATGCGAGCGGTGGACTGAAGTCAGGTACTGGGAATCATGAGACTCATTGAATATATACTGACTAGTATACAAGAGACCGAGGACTGGAATATACGCTTGTATCTTAGATTCACGTGGAAACAACACTCGACCAAGCCTAGTGAAGTCCTTTTGAGAGCCGAGTTTGACTATTGGACGCCTCACCACACCCTTCCCAGCTCCCACGACCCCACGATATGGGAGATCCATCGGATGGTGCCGCCTGGAACAATGCAATTCTTCTTTGTGGTCGACGGAGTGGCTTCGACAACCGACGCCCACATTGTGCAGAAGTTTCAACCGCGAATATGGGGTGGAATAAGCAACTTCTGTCGTGGACTGGACATGCCGGCTTCCAGTCAAGTCAACATGATCCAAGTCGAAGCAACCGACATCCTCGCAGATATCAAGTGCAAACCTCGGTCGAAAACTCCCGGGCCAGGGCAAACCGACGACTGGTTTTCCAAGTCTGTCTTTTGTACTTATCAGCAAGACACTTCCCAACATTTATCGAATGCGTTCGAGTCGGATTGGATTGTGTCGAGGGTACGCATTCAATTACACAAGCAACTTTTGTCGACAGACCTCATCTCTCTTCTTGAGGTGTAGTTACCCAAGCTAAGCAAAGACCCAAATGAGCTAGACAAGGCCAAGCAACTACTCGCCAAGAACTTTTCCATGTTGAAAGCTGTGTTCAAGCACTATGCGACCAGCGGGTACGACCAGCGTGAATCGCGATATTGTTTAGTGCTATTGAATCGTTATCATCCCCCATCTCACTCTTTGAAAAGGGGCACGGATCCGTATACACTAGGGTCGAATGCATTTTTCGACTTTATTTGCGACTGCGATGTAGTCGACCAAGACACTTGTACACGGGCCGAAGTGGAAATGAGTTTTATTTCGGCCAGCTCGTCGGGGCCTAAGGTAGAACGAGTACATTGTAGTAGGAGTACTAGTATATACAGTTAGTGTACATACATAGTCCTTATATATGTGGGCGACTAGACCAAGTGGAACACGCGGCGCAGTCTATTTCGCTTTCAGTTTATCGAGACGATTGCGTTTCTGGCCGTGTCCAAGTTTGTCAAATCCAAGCGCGCGACGTCCGTCCATGATGCCATTGCCATGTTCGTGCAGCATCACATTGAACCGCACGCTACTTGGCACGACAGCCAGGCGTATCGAACTCACAAGTCGGTGGATGCGCAGCCCAGTTGCCTCTACTCGCCCCAAGTGGACTTGATCTTCAAGGATCACTTGTACCTGCTCAAGGAAGTATTTGCATCTTTTGCTGGCACGATCGACACGACCCCCCCTACCACCAACGAAAAAGCCAAGCGGCTGAGCTTTGCCGAATTCACGAGTTTATGCGACGAGGTGCACTTGACGGACGAGTCGTTGCCAGCTCGGGACTTGAAAATTGCGCTCATGCGATCGAAAGAGACCGAAGTACGTTTGTTTTTTCCGTGGGTAAAACCCAACACACATATTGTGCTTTCGAGTGACATTTCGTTCGTTTAAATCGATTTGATTGGCTACTTCAGAAGAGCTCAAAATTATTGGCCAATCAAAACCCATTTCTCAATGAAATTGAACCAATCAGACCGATTGTGGATCGGTTTGGTCGGCGCGATTCGATTGCACCCCCTCCCCAAATTTGTTTATATCAAATCGACAATACTTACTTTATAGATCTTTGACCCACTGGGGGACGGTGACGACTGGAAGCGCATCACGTTTGGCGAATTCCTCGAAGCATGCGCGCGGATGGCCGATGGAAAAGACTACTCTGAACTATATGACCGCGTCAAGCTAGCAGCGCGTTCTGCGGCTGTGGACGGCACTTCATTTGAGTTTTTAAAAGTCCACACGTCCACAGTCGACCAGTGGAGAAGCCACACTGGCCAGTTTGGCCTGAAACTTCCTGTACGAGATATGGACATTTATATCCAACTCAACTTGGACGTACTAGTAGCTTGATGTTGTCATTGTGAACTGCTGCGAGATTGACATTGATGGCTTATAAGTACACGATGATCATACCCAACGGATTGTGTATGTGCTGTGGTTTCCTTAGGTCCTGTTGAAGCAAATGGTACTACCAGTAGTCCGCGCCCGCAAGATTTCAATTCCACCGCTGATGACGAGGCAAATCAGGATTGTTGCGACCATGTTGCAGCTTGAAACCGACATGGTGTAAAATCATACAAATATATTTATATATATATACTCGTCCAGCGCTGTGCTTGACTCTTGCGATTGTTGTGGGCCTATATATATATCTTTACTCGGCAGCTTGGGCCAGTTCGAGCTTGTGCAGTCGCACCGCTTCGAGGAACGCTGGCACGGAGAATGTCCGACCGGTCTGGTTCGTTTGCATGGCTTTGTACACGGCGTGGTTGTATGCTTTCTGCCACAGTCTGGTCACGGCATGGCGGATCTTATCCTTTCGCTCTGCTTCCTGAATGGCAATCTGCTGCTTGGACAGGGACCGCGCTTCGTCCAGCATGATGTACCCCGTAGCGACCACGGCCATAAAGTTGAGTATGAGCATAATGTTGACAATTTGCTGCTGGTTGAGCAGATTCAGCCCCGTTTGGGCGTTCAGAACGAGCACGAGACCCACCCACAGCGTCAGAATGAGCTGGAACTGCGTCATGCTGCTCACGAGGTTGTTACTCCAGGCCACGTACGGCCGGTAGTACAGGATGCCGCTCATGAGGAGGATGCTCCACGTGATACTTAGCACGGCCTTCAACACTGGGTTGTTGTGCACAAAGATCACGAGGCCGTTCATGAACAACTTGCGCAGCAACTCGAGGACTTCAAACCACCAAAACTCGGGCACGTAGTTTTGGTAAATGAACCCCACGCGCAGTCGGTTCACCGAGTCCTACAAGACCATATCCATTATGAATACTACCCCATCGAATCATATATATATCTATATATATATCTATATATAGAATCCAACGTTAGCAGCTCTTTTCAAGATAGTATATGGACGACGTTGTTACCGTCATGTTGAGATAACACATGTACTCGTACAACAAGTCGTTTTCAACGTCGTAGAACTCGTGCTCTTTGATGTATCGGCCCCGCGTGGCAAAATACGCGCGCATATTGCGGGTCCACTTGTGCCTCAAGTACCGATACCGAGGGTTCTTCAATATGATCATGCGCTCCCGGATGTTGGCAGTGCGGACGCGGTTAATGACGATGTAAAAGAAGAGCGGGACACCGGCCACCCACGCGCCGAGCCCCACGAACCCAAAGAGCGAGTAAAATCCCCACTGGGCGTCATAGCACACCAAACTTCGGTCCACAACCATGTAGTACTTGTTGCCAATCTCTTGGCAGTTGAAGATGTTGAGAATGTACTGGCACACGTTGGGGTACAAGATGAGCAGCAGCCACATAAACAGCTTGAAGCACTTGTTCTTGTACGAGTGGTAGTTCATGCGCAGCTTAGTGCGGGCCTGCCACACGCGGAGGTTGGCCCTGAGCGTCCGGTCCAGCAGCTTCCCACTGAGGACGTCGTCGCTTGGGCACTGGTGCTGCAAGTGCCGAGACGGGTACACAGACAGCACGTCTGTTTTGACTGTGGAAATGCCTAGTTCGCGCTTGATTTTGCGGTCGTCGGGGGCGTTCGCGTCCGGTTCGCTGTCCACAAGGCAGCTCAATCGATGTAAACTCTGCCGGAGCTTCGGAGGCACTTTGCCGCCTTGAGCGAGCGTAGCTGGCAAACGTTCATATACACGCCTTGAATACGACTCGCGCACGGGATGGCCGCACCGGGTGCAGTTGCGGGGAATCGACGACAGCTTCTTCTCGTACGAGTGGATGCCGTGCACGTAAAAGAATGCAATTACACCGAGCAAGAACCCAAGGATTACAAACAGCAAGCTATTGGAATATAGTATTCATATGATTGAACATATATATATATATAGGTAGATCCTTACATCAGGTCAAAGTAGAACGTGCGTTCCATGATACAATCCAAGCCCGCCACCGCGATCAAATCCTATTTTCGACGTCGATTATGCTGTGATATATATATAATCATTTGATATTTACCAGGTTGAACTTGGACGTCGAGTCCATGGCGCTATTGACCGTGTTGGGCCACTGCACTTCGTACGTTTTCTTTAAGTTGCCAAAGATTTGGAAAAATCCAATGAGAATTTTGATCTTTTCTGGGCTCAGGTACACCCCCACAATCACATTCACGGGCGCGATGCCAAACACAATCGACTTGTCGTGCTTCTTCTTTTCGGCTGCTTTCAGCTCGTTCTTTGCCTTCCAAGCAGAGACTTTGGCTTCGATATACTTGGCCACCTTGCCCTTTTCAGCCACGCGGACATTGTGCACTTGAAATTTTCGATCTGCATGGGCTTTGCCGAGAATCTTCACGTCCGTGCCATCCTGTACATCGATAAGTAAAACGTTATTTGAGCTTGGATTATATATATATTTGTTATCATTTCTAGTGTACTTACAGCCAAGAAGCCTCGAATGCCAACGACAACTCCAACGAGCAGTAGTAGCACCAGCCCTGGAAGCAAGAAGTTTTGCCACGTCAGTCCGCTCCGAATCGCAGCATTCACGTCCTCGCACGCTACACATATATATATTATCGTGAATTATATAACTAGATACAAAGCATATTCAAAAATACATGGGATAATACTATGACGTACAGGCACATTCACCAGACGACGTTCGTTTATGAAATGGTTTGCACACGGAACACGTGGGTCCTTGATACCCTGTCGCACACGGAATTGTGTCAGTGTTGATTTGAGGTTTGTCTGCGACAACGTCGGCTGGACACGACCCAGGGACCTATACAAAACACAACATCTCATATATATATATATATACATCACAACATCTCATATATATATATGTATAAAAACACCCAATATATCATCCCGTTCGTACTTCGCATTTATAAAACGACGAATTCGTCAAGCATGAGTACTGGCGTTCCGGTGGCCAATACTTTTGGAACGCAATGCTAGTCTTGAGATGCGCACAGTCGTTCATAACCAAGTTCAGATCAATGGCGGATGATTCCTTCAAGTTGGTCACACCGCCCACTTGCTTGGCAGCGAATTGTAGACACGGATCCGTAGAGTCCCACGTGGACGGAACACATCCGGCTAGCACGGTCTTGGTCGCTTCGAATGTCATGAAGTTGGCCACCGTGCGCGGAAAGGTCACGCCGTACGCGAGTTGGACGTCTGGGAACGCAACGTTCACCACAAACTGGTCGCAGTTGCCGCCTTTAGGACAGTCAAAGCAGTGCTGGCCATCCAAACTAGACGGCAAATAATCACCACTTTGCAATACGACGACTGGAACAATCGATGGACAATGGGTCGTACCTATACTGTCCCACGCCACAACGAGTACACCGCCTAGAACAACCAGCCCAGCCATCGTGTCAGGATTATATACGACTAGTACTACTACCTACTGTACTATAGTACTACTCGTACTTACTTGTTTTCGGCCAGTCGAAAGCCCGGTTTGCAAGGATACACGGTCACGTTCAAGTCAATGTATTGGTAGCCTTCATTGGCCAATGGAATCGAGCACACTGCTTCCAGTGCGTACGTGATGTTGGCTCCATCGCTGACGACGGCGGCGTTGAGAAAGGTCACAGTGCCAGTTTGAGATAAAAAGGGCACGCCCGGTTCGAAGAGGATGCCTGTCGTCTGATTGGTCGCTGCTTGGATGATGCACGTGGACGAGTTGTCTGTCACGGACTGCTGGCCGTAGTAGTCCTGCACCATCAAGCGTGGCCACAGATTCTTGCTCTCTCCACCATCCACAGACACATTCACAGGCACAATCGACTCGACTTCGTCGACCTTGACCAAGTACGTGCCGCTGGTCGCATGCGTGGGCCACCACGACACGGCAAACTGCATCGAATCCGTTGCCTTGTCGTACATATCGTTGCTGTGAATCGAACAGTCGCTGCAATGGAATACGTCGGGGGCGGTGGTACTGCCAATGAGCCAAAACACTCCGCCGCCGCTCGTGGCCACGTTCGAAGTGACGCTCAGACGCTGGGAAACCGTCGTGCTACTCTTTTGAACGAACACAGCGCCGCCTCGAAACGAAGCTTGGTTGGCGGTAAATGACGAATCCTGTAATTGTACCCACGAGGTTGTAGCTAGGTGCAGCCCTGCGCCGTCCACCGCCACGTTCTCTACAAAGGCGCAATGCGACATATTCAACGCGGCGTTCCCGGCAACAGCGATGCCGCCCCCGTTGCTCGCGGCTTGATTCTCGTAAAACTCGGCCGAGTCCAAACTCAATTGACTGGCGCTTTCCATGTAGATGCCCCCGCCACTTCGACCGACGTTGCCAGTGAAACTCGACTGGTTGGTCACGGCAGCCACCGTTTTCGACAGCAAGACGATGGCACCGCCAACATCGTCGGCTACGTTTTCAACGAATACACACCCACTTGCGACGAGGTTCCCACTGCGATCCACGGCTACCCCAGCGCCACGGTCAGCCGAATTGCGATGGAATGTACACCGAATCAGCGTCGACGTAGTGTCCGAGATGTACAGCCCACCGCCCAAGACGGCTGCATTCTCGGTAAAGGTCACGTCGGTGAACGTTGAGCCCGATCCACGTCCCACGTAAATACCTAGTGATTATAGCTTAGAACACGGATTCTACATATATATATATTGTCAAGTCGATTCGAAATTGGAGTGGGGTGGTGCTCAATCGAATGAGCAGCAGCACCCCAATCGGCAGACAATCAAAGATCGACCAATCAAAACCCAGAACACGAATCAAGTGGCCAATCAAAAAATCCACTCTTCGACCAATTCAGCATCAAATTAGTGTGTTACTGAAATTAGTGTGACTGGACGCATTTTACATACAAAAGTCAATACAAAGAATCAATCGATAGATTTGGCGAATCAACACTAAAGTCCATATTTTGGGTCAAAGGACTATATATATATATTGACCCAAACAAAATATGACCCAAAATATGAACTTTAGTGCTGATTCGCCAAATCTATCGATCGGTTCTATATATATATATATGTACACTACCGCTTCCAAAATGCAGTGCCGTGTTGCTTGATACAACGGAGGCGTTCAGAACGACCGAGTTCTTTCCAGACGCAATGTAAATGGCCGCGCCATCGTTGGTCACGGTGTTGCCATCGACGGTAGCGTTCTTGCCAATCAATTTCGAATTCCGTTGAATGTAGATGCCTCCTCCGTCGTACTTCGCATCTACGCATTATATATTAAAAACATATATATATATACATCCACTCCTCGTACCACAGTCTCCAACATGCCCTGAAAACAGATACATTGTCGACTCGTCCAAGAAGACTCCGCCACCGAATTGAGTCGCACGGTGGGTAACAATAGACGACTCATCGCGTATGGTTAACGTTGCCGTGGCCACGTAGATCCCCCCGCCAAACACTGCAGACCCACATGTGACGACGGTGGAACCGGCCAGCGTCGCACTGGACTCTTTTCCGATGTACAGGACGCCCCCATGTGTTGCAATAGGGACAGAGTTCATGGAAGCACAGTTACCAGACAAGGTGCAACTGGTGAACGTGCCTTGGCTGTTGGATTCTAGGTACACTGTCGCACCCTGTGTCGCAGAGTTGTGAGAAAACGTGCTTGCTGTAAAGGCAAAGCGTGTGCTCTTGAACGACACGGCCCCTCCAAAGCCTCCGCCATCCACGGAGTTGTTGGTGAAATCGCAACGGATAGCATTTACATTCGCAGAGAGCACTCGAAAAGCACCGTGCCTGGAACCCTTGTGGTTGGCCACAACGGTGTCGATCACGGTAACGTTGGCGCTGGAATAACTGAAAGATGCGTCGCTGTTGACGAGAAGCGCAGCCCCCGACGGAGCCACGTTCGAGTCAAACAGACAACTTTCAATGGTCAGCGTCGTAGACTCCATCACAAACACCCCCCCGCCTTCACTCGATGCCAAGTTGAATTGAAACAAACACCTTCGAAACGCCCCGCTCGCTCCGTTCGAGACATAGGCTCCACCTCCACGGTACGCTTGGCCGGCCGAAATGTTCCAATTGGCCAATTCAAACCCTGTCACAGATTCCCCTATAAACACATTGGCGCCGCCAAAGTACTCGGCCGTTGCGTTGTCAAAGTAGTTGCCCGTTAACAGGCTGTATGTGCCGGTTTGGCTGCTGACCGTCGTGGTATTGCCAATCCAGAAACCAGGTCCCTCCGCGGCAACGTTGTGCTCGACGACGACTCTGTCGTGACTGACGTTGGCGTAATTCAGGTACATGCCACCGCCTTGGACGCCAAAGTTGCGTCGAATGGAGCTGTGAGTCAGGTAGATCGAGCTTTCGTAGAGGTACATCCCACCTCCTTGGTTGGCCTCCGAGTCTGCGACGATGCAAAACGCACACGTGCCACTCCACTGACTTCCAGACACCCCACCACCTCTCCACGCCGTGCCATTCACACTGTTCACGTACGACATGGAGCTATGATTCGCCAAGTGGATATTGCCCCCCATGGTGTTGGCTTCGTTATGGGATAGGCTTATGAACCCAGTCAGCGCGCCAGGAGGTTCCAACGAAGCTGACGATAGGAACACGCCGCCGCCGTCCGTGGCCGAGCAGTGTTGAACCAGTACATTCGAGTGCTCGACGGTGGACCTTAGCAGGTACAAGCCACCGCCTTGGCCGGGAGTGGAGCAAGAATCCACGAAGACGTCCACCAGGCCAACCGTGCATAATTGAGCGAACATGGCACCTCCCTTGTCATGTGCGATGTTGTTTTGCAGCGTCACAGACCTTAAAGACGACGGCGATGGGCTTGACAACGCACTCACTCCGCCGCCAAACGCCGCTTTGTTGAACTGTATCACACATCGGCCAAGACCAGTACCAGTGACCAAGTGGGCTCCGTCGACGTGAAGCCCACCTCCGAACGTCGCGGCGTTGTCTTGAACAACGAAAGAGTCGGTCACAGCGCGAACATTTTCGAGGACGCCACCTCCACCGTGTTGAGTCGCGGTGCAATTGGCCACTGTGACAGAGTTGAGTTGGAGAGAAGGAGAAGAAATAGCGTGGAATCCACCGCCGTTGGGCGCCGTACAACGAGATATCGACGCGAGTTGTAACGTTGACTCGCCTTGGATGAAGATGCCACCACCAGACATGCCAGCTGCGTTCTCGGCAATGTCCACAGGACCAGTCAGTGCTGCGGTGCGAAGGTAGACGCCACCGCCGCTTGCATTCGCCGTGTTATGAGTAATAACCACGAGCACCAACTCCACCGTGGAATTCACCACACTCAAGCCACCGCCATGCAGTTCACTTGTACACTCGTGGATCGTCACACCAGTCACAACGCAAGTTGTGTCGTGAATCGCCATGCCACCACCCCACTTGGCCGAATTCTGAGACACGGTAGACTGGCGAAACCAAAGCCATTGGTCGGACAAGGTGAACACGCCGCCGCCCGACTGCATTGCATGGTTCAACATGATGACGGAGTTAGAATCCGAAACGGAAGATGACGTCAACAAGTACAAGCCACCGCCGTCGGTTGTGGCATTGTTCGACGTTAGACGCACATTCGACGATGCCAAGCTCCCGTTGATGGCAATACCGCCGCCGTATGACGCTACGTTGAGTGCAATTTCAAGTGGACCGAGGGGATCGGACCAGAGGACGTTAGCCAAACCCAAGGCGAAGACGCCACCGCCGTACCGTGTCGCAGAATTCGACTGGATAAACGAACTCCAACCTGAGACAGCGGACGACCCGTCTGCGTATATGCCACCACCGTCTAACAGAGCCAGGTTGTCGGTAATCCTCGAGTTGTTGAGCGTAACGCTGCTGTTGTACGCGTATATCGCACCGCCATAGTTGGCCGAGCACTGGGATATAACGGATTGTTCGAGATACACACTGGACAGCTCGACGTAGATCCCGCCCCCTAGCTCGGACGAACCCACTCCACCACGAACTGAACTCTGAAATAGCTTCAACACGCCACCTCCTGTGACACTGAGCTGCGCAGAGTCGGTTTCACGAGACTGAAATGTCACCCCTGTGACACTGACCATGCCACCGTCGACACTCCACTGGCCTTCGGGGCACGTAAACACAGTCAACGAGGCGCCGTACACTCCATGTATGTCAATCTGCGCGTTTGAAATTTGCACGTCGCAGTTGATCGCGCCGACATACTCGCCCGGATACAGCAGAATTGTCTTCTTCTTGGTCGATGGAAACGAAGACAGAAAGTCGAGTGCTTTGGCTAGACTTCGCACGGCTTTACTTGCAGTGCCGTGGGCAGTGGCGTTCATAACCGCCCCCGTCCCTCGCTCGTCGTTCCCCTGCTTGGCATCCACGAGCATCACCACTTCGTCTGGACCCGAAAACGCAGAGCCATCCGGACACACCAGTCCATTGGTGCACAAAATGCGCTGGCTGCAGTCTTCTCCAGTGTACCCGACACTGCACAGACACAGACCGGACGCTCCGGTGCAAATGCCATTGTTAGCACATGAAATATTCTGGTGTGATGGGCACGGAATCTGCGTCACCCGGGGAGTGTCCTTGGCAGCATCGAATGATTCCACGTTTAACGTGATACCATCCAGTGTCACAGACGAGTCTGTCGTGAACGTGACAAACATGTCGCTGTTGGCAAACGTGGAGACGATGCCAAATGGTTGGTGGCGAGTGCATCCGCCACGCCACAGCACCATACTCATGTTTGTGGTCGGATTGATTTCTTCAACTAGTACTTGGTCGTGGTCGCACTCGACCGAAAACGTTGCAAACTATATATACCAGCAACATAAGTAGGATAACTTGTCATGTACATTTGAACCAGGGCCAAAGGTACGTACGTTCAAGTACGTGTGTACAAGTGGTCCCGTGGAGTGTTGTAGCTTCCATATTTTGGTTTGGTTGTTCGCGTACCCTTGTTGAACGATACTTAAGGCGAGATCATTTGAACATGCGATGACGGGATCGTGGGCTGTCAATGTGGATGTCATTGCAGGCGCACTCCAGTGGGACAAGGACTGATCGCTTCGAATTTCTTGGATTCGATACGAATATGGCTGTCCTGGCGTCAGGTTCTGCGTATCTTCAAAGGACAAAGTCGTGCCAGTGTAGATCAGTATGCTGTTACGATCGACGTTGTATCCCACTGCGCGGGGCGATACCCTCCACGCCAGTTGGACGGAATCCTGCGATACTGTACAAGATTCAGACATTATTATCGTATCTAGTCATTGAATTTGAATTTTTACCGCATTGAACCACGGGTGGCAGCGGTGCATTGGCATCAGCTGGCGTTGTGAGAGTTAGAGTCTTGCTGACGTCTCCCAATTGATCAAACGTCACTGCCCTCTACAAACAACCTGTTATACCCAGCATGATAATAGGACCACAACAATGAACGAGACCAACTTACCACGGTCACACTGTATTGCGTTAGAGGTGTCAGATCGTCAACCGTGCACAGCACAACTTGGCTTGCATCAGCTGGTACATCAACCAGTTGGGTGACGAGGGTACTTGTACCGACGGTGGTGACGTCCACCGAGTACATTTGCAGCACACTGCCACCGAAATCTCTCGGCGCACTCCACGCCAAGTCGATAGCTGTAGCGTACATGTTGACCATCCCAAAGTTGACTGGTGTGGACGGCGCAGAGTTGATTTCCGTGCGGACTTCGAGCACATTACTCGGACTTGACATACCAATCGCATTCGCGGCTTGCAAGGTCGTTGCAAACGTCGCTGTGGCCTCCAGACCCGAGATTGTGCATTGAAACAGCATGCCTTCGCACATCTTGACGTCGTGCGTGTCGACATTCACCAGCTTTAGTACAAACGCAGTGATAGACGACCCGCCGCTGTCAGTTACGGCGTTCCACGAGAATGACAGCAGTCCCCCCGTTGCTTTATCCAGCTTTGGCGAGTCTGGAGGTCCTGGCGTCGTGGGTTGAGACGTCTGGCCCGACTGCTGCGGAGACCCGCCGCTTGTACCTCCTTGCACCGACACGGCTCTGACTTGAAAATCGTACACTGTCGAAGGGTTCAAGTTGCCAACTGTGACACTGCCAGACGCATCGAGGCGGCGGCGACGATGTAGCGTCGAAACACTTTCGAGGTCCGATGTGACAACGCTCAGCTCCCTCGTCGAGCTGGTTGATGAGGCAGATTGTACGAACTCGGCGTGGGAGATCGTCGTGACGAGCACATTGTTGGCATACACGGCGTAGGATAGATCTGCCAGCGGCACCCCGCCAGTGTCCAGGGGAGGAGTAAAGCTCAGTGTCACAGCCCCCCCCGACTGACTCAGGATCTTTGGCGTCGTGGGCGGGAGTGCGGGGGAAGCGGCACTTGTGCTCAACGTTGCATACGCACTAGCCGATCCCGTGCCCATGAGATTCACCGCCGCCACTCGAATGTTGTAAGCTGTGGACGCCAGCAGCCCGTAAAACGTAAACTGGTTGGCCGACGTGAGCTGGGTTCCGTCGATGCCTTGCACTTCCACGACGTAACTCGTAACTTTCTCGCCGCCGTCGTCGCTAGGGGGTGCCCATCCCACAGTAATGGACCCGCCAGTGTGATTCACAAAGAATGGACTCCACGGCGGCCCAGGCACGGAGATACCCGACGTTTTGAACGTCTTGACCAGCATCGACGCCAAGCCAGCTGACCCAGCCGAGGATGTTGTGTCCACTCCAAAGTAGTAGGACGTTTCTGACGCGAGATTCATCACCCACGCACTGGTTCTCGTGTCATTTTGGATCAAATTCCACACATTTGACGTCAATGGCTTCATGTACAAGCTGAAGATGAGCGTGTCGTTCATACCGACGCCGCGATCGAACGGCGGCTGCCACGCCAGTGTGATCCCGCCGCCCGTGCTGGACGTGTCGACCAAGGATGTGACAGGGTGCGGCAAGGATGTTTCATTGGTGCGGAAGAGCCCCACGGGGCTGCGACTGCCCGCGCTGGATGATTCGCATGCGGACTTCAAATTTACGGCCATTACAGACACATTGTACCACGTTAGTGGACTAAGCCCCGGTACCAGCATGATACAATCCATTCGGAGGTTGCCAAGCACGGTAGACGCGTCTTCGATGGCGAAATTCAAGATCTGCGATGTGGTTAACATATGCATTTGCTCACAAGATCTATTATACCTCGTCGCCTTGTACGAATACTCGGTACGAAGTAATGGGAACGCCGCCTACGATGATGGGTTTCAATCTTAATGCCAAGGATATGGTGAAGTAAGTATATATGATAGTAGACCTGTGTCCAATGGGGAATTGACTTGTAGACGCAGCACACTGCCAGATGGATAATCCAATCGGATCGGCACTGGAGGGCTCGACGGTAATGTGAGCTGAGTGGTCGAACACGCAAATACATTGCTTGCACTGCCCAGTGCAACCATCTCAAAGTTGTCGACATTCAATCCAATATATGGCGACGTCAGTCTAATTTCACTGGTGTCTGGTTGTTCGTCCTCTGGAAACCACAAAATGTCCTACAATACGTAGAATTAGCCATTAAATACTAGTGCCAGACAGATAATCCTTTGATGTGCATGGATGTTCTCACCATCATTTCAATGGTTTTATAGGCCGATCGCGGAATCGGAGTCGTCGTTGTGATTGCTTGTCGGCCGTTCGAAATGGACCCCAACCCCGGCAATACTTGTGCTTCTATTGACGTGACCGCCACAACCGCAAACTCATACCATGTCTTTTGATACAGTCTGGCAATGGTCGCAGAGGTTTCCGCTGCAAACAACGCCCACTGGAACGGATTATACTCTGACGTGGCGCTGTCTACTCGAAAATACACGTTGTAGCCCACGATGGCTGCCCCACCTACATACACACACACAAAAACTGGTTATGCAGTGCTACTTCACTTCGGGATCTGTGTGACACTGTACCAGTGTCGTCAGGTGGTTGCCATTCCAACGTGATAGCGCCCCCAGTTTGAACCCTCGACAAGACATTCGTGGGTGGCCCAGGTAGACTCGGAAGGCCCGTCCGGAATGTAAAGTTGGCCGATGGGGTACTGTATCCCATAGTGTTTATGGCCTACATACACTAATAGTTATATGTGATTGAATAGACTGATCTTCGAACCTGAAACTGAAACGTATACGTTGTGTTGGCAGTGGGCAAGTACACTGCGTACAAAGCTGGATTCGTCGGCATGGCCGTGCCAACTCTCTACATATATTGATTGCCTCAGTACCTAGAACTCGACTTCACAACGACACTTTACCTCAAACTGACTGCGTTCTCGACTGTACACAAACACGGTATAGTTGACATCCACAACGCCACCAGTATCATCAGGAGGGGAAATCACCAACAGCATAAACCCGCCCGTAACTTGGCTGAGTTGCACACTGGTGACCGTGCCAGGCAACGAAGGCAACGACGTTGTTTGCGCAGTGAAGTTCATTCCGCTACTGGTGCCAATTCTGTTGATAGCGCAAATGGAGAGGGTGTAGGTCGTGGAAGCCATCAAGCCACCAATGGAAGCTGTTGTTGCATTTGTCAGAGTCGTCACGGCTTTGACAAGCGAGCCGTTGGAAAATACATTCACGGAATACTGGGTAATAAACACCCCCGCGCCCCCCGTATAAGGCGGAGGTAGCCACGCCAACTGCAGCAATCCACCAGTGGATTTGACCACGTTCAGTTGATTTGGAACTCGAGATGGAATCGCGGGCGTCCAGTCGTTGTATATCGTCGCGCAAAGCACGTCGTTTCCCTCACGATTCAAGTACCCGCCGCCGCTAACTTTGACCAATGTGAGGCAAAAGAAGAGCAGTGGGAACTGTGGTCGCTGGTTGTTGATGATCGATACAATCAAGCTGGCTTGTGTCACGTTCGTTGCAAACGAGATGCGCTGGTTCGGCAGAAGTTGGTACTCTGTGCCGGATCGAGCGGTGCCGTTGCGCGAGGCGGTGGCGTCGGAAGGAGTCCACACGACGGTCGACATGGCACCGCGCAGGCGACGAATGGGAATGCTCACCAAGCCCGCGTCCTCCCGCACTGTGATCGTAGACATGCCGAAGTCAAACGCTCCAGCATTGTCTTCTTCGTCGACAAAGATGGTCACGTTCGCAAACAACGACGTCACAACTGCATTCGTGGATGTATCTGCAATCAACTCGAGGGAAATGGATGCGTTTGGGTTGTACGCTGTGGATGCCGTGATGGCCACGACCACACTGGCCTGCGTTTGCAGATCTTGCAACGTGATGGAACTTGGGCAAGTGAACACGACGTTTCCCGTGCTTGTGCTGCGAATGGTGTACCGCACAGCCCCAGATGTGCCCCCTCGACGGACCAGCGGCACAGACACCGAGCCGGCATCGATTTTGGTTTGAACGGTCGATACGCCCCACCCACAGGTGCCCTTGGCCAGTGACAGCGTTTGCATTTGCTGCACATTGGACCAAGTACTCGCCCCAGCCACGTTGCGACTCCGCACTGAGATGTTGTACAAGGTATTGGGAGCCAAACCAAGGACGACCATCGATGTATTCTTGACGATAGATGCCGTTGTGTTGCTTTGACTAGACTGGATCCGTATATCAAAGGCCAGCGTGTCGGGGCTTCCCCCGTCGTTGACGGGCAGTGTCCAATTGATTGCTACCGAAGTAGCTGTGGCCTCCACCAACCGTACGCTGTCTACCATGGAAGGCGTCGACGGCGCCGCAGTGGTAAACACGAGCCCGTCACTCAACGGCCCTTCGTATCCGTTGAAAGCACTGGCTTGAAACACGTATCTCGTGCGAGCGAGTAGTCCCCCCGCTGAGATATTGTAACTGGACACGTTGGACGATGTCACAGGAACCACCCCTATAATGGTGCTATTGCGATACAGTGTCAATTTGGAGACGGAGAGGCCGCCTGTATCCTGCGGCAACGTCATTTCCACAACTACGAACGCCCCTACTTGACTTCGCACGACGGGGATCGAAGGAGAAGTCGGCGGAGTGGCTTTTGAGGTGGTTGCATTGACCACCGCAGCCGTTCCGTTGCTGACGTCATTTCTCGCAAACAACGTCACTTGGTACGTGGTATTTTGAGTCAGCCCAGTAAACACACAAGTTGAGCTGGTGGTGGGGATCCACTTGTCCTGCATCAACGCCCCCGTTCGCGTCAACAAGCAATAGGTTCCCAAACTCGCCAGCCCTCCATTCGAGTATGGAGGGTCCCAGGAGGCAGCGACGGTCCCGCCCGTGACTGCAGTCCTAACGTTCAGCGGCGCCGACGGCGCGGTTGCATTCGCCGTGCGGAACGTCACAGGGTCACTGAATGCACTCGGGTATCGGCTATTTCGTGCCATGATCGTGTATGTGTACGAAGTAGAGGCCATCAACCCACTGTCTTCAAACGACGTTGTGTTGGAGTGTCCGATACTGACTTCATTGCGACGGATTTCATAGTCCGAGACGGTGGCGCCTCCAGTGTCTATGGGAGATTGCCATACAAACACAAGGCGATCGGCCATCGCTTTGGTTACACCAATGGACGTGGGTGCAGACGGCGATGATACGTCGGTGGTTGCTGCCAGTGTCGTGGGGCTAGGCGTTGAGCTACCCCCTTCCGAGAACGCCACGACGTAGTAGCTCTGGTTGGACAGTGCTCGAAACCCATAGATTGCAAATGACACATTCGTGCCATTGTACAAGGGTATTTTTGGGAGTGCATACAACACGTAGCGCACGGACGTGGACCCGCCAGAGTCCAAGGGGGGGGTCCATGTGATTTCGACCATTCCCCCCGTGGCTTTGGTCACGATAGGTGCAGCTGGCGTCGACGGAGCTGTCGTGAGTTTGGTTTTCACCACAATGCGATTGCTTTCCTGGATGTAGCTCGGGTTGAAGCAGTGGCTCATGGACGTCAGCGCCACGACTGCGAAAACGTACGTCGTGTTGGGATTCATGTTGAACAGTGTCACATTTGTCAAGGCTTTGGTAGTCTCGTCTTGGTAAGCAATGGATGGGGAATTTGTGATGATGTCCAGAGAAGAGTATTGACGTACGGCATACCCCGCGATTGGGATTCCGCCTGAATCGACGGGAGCTATCCACTGCAGGCTAATTGCACCACCCGTGGGTGCTGCCGATAGAGTCAAGTTGAGCGGACTTGTGGGAATGCTAACGGCCGAAGTCACAGCTTGAATGGAGCTAGACACATCGCTGGCTCCCTACAACGACATGTTTCACTTCAATAGCAGTATATATAGGTATCGTACAATGGCGTTGATGGTCTGGCTGGTCACCGTGTAGACAGTACTAAACGTGAGACCGTAGACCGTAGGCGTGTTGTTGGAGCCTTTGTAAACAAGTGCAAAGACACTGGGAAAGGTTGGGCTGTTCATGTACACAGCATATTGCAAAATGGGCACCCCGCCCGTGTTGATGGCCGGTGAAATGCGAAAGTTCAACGCTCCTCCAGTGGACGATACCAGTTCTGGAGGAAACGGCTTGGACGGGGTGTTGGCTGTGGTGGTTGAGCATGTAATGTACGCAAAGAGCGACGAAATATTAAACGCATTCATGGCTTGGACTCCAATGGAATACAATTTGGACGCATTCAGTCCATCACAAAGCATGGTGGTACTCACCGTTCGAGTCACAGGACGAACACTAATGTCTGCGCACATGACTCTGTACTCGGCAATGGGAAACCCGCCAGTATCCATGGGAACATCCCACGCCACCGTGAGGCTGCCGCCTGCGCGCCCAGAACACCGCACGTTTCTCGGCAACGACGGCACAGACGGTGACAGTGTTTGGAAGGTGACGGCGTCACTGTATGGCCCTACCAATAAACTCGTTTCGGCAGCGATTCGCGCCGTGTAGTTGGTCGTGGAATTGAGTCCGCCAATGGTAACACTGGTCTCGTTCACTCGATTCGTGAGCTCAAACCCTGTCGCAACGATCTTGACCGTGTAGAATGTCACGGGTAGGTTATACCCGCCCGAGTTGGCCGGCGCACTCCACGAAAACCGCCCCAAGCCACCAGTTAGCCACGCCACAGCAATATGAGTGGGTGGTCCAGGTGGCGACACGACGTTGCGCTCTGAAATAGTGACCTTGGTCACTGCCGCCACCGTGTTGAGCACGGAGCAACTGGAGAAACTGTTGGGCAGTGTCATGTTGAGAATGAAAAACAGACTTGGGAGGTTGTAGATGCCGTCGTTGACAAGATAGATCGTGGCGACGGCAATCGATTGGTTCGGAGTAAGCACTACAAACGACGGAATCGACAGGATCTGTCGGGTCATCGTAGCCGTGCTCATGGTGAAATTGACTGCCAGCGATGCGTTAATTGTTGTCAAGGCGTGGCCAGAGCGGACGATGGTCACGTTCAGAGGCGTGTAAAATGGCGCCGGAAGGAGCTGCAGTTGATCGATCGACGTGGCTTCAAAGCCGACCAAGCCCCCGCTGTTGTCGTCCTCCATCACCACCGTAACATTGCTCACTGGTCCGATCCGAACGAGGCTGCCGGCGGCTGCGGCTATCGACACACCAAACGTCCGCCCAGACGGTGTGCACCCAAATGTGTCGTTGAAGAACGGAATATGAATGGTCGCTGACGAGGACGTGGGCGCAAAGTACACGAGCCCCGACGACTCGACAAAGTGCGTGCCAGCTACGGCCGTGCCGCTCTGGGTCGAGAACATAACCGACCCAGAGATGCCACTGGCATTTCGAGTCACGGCGATGCTAACGCTGCCGTTGCTCTGCGAGACTCGTGTTAGAAGCAGGGAAAACGTGGCAAATCCAGCGGCCTCGACGGTCGTGGAGAAGTTGACAGACGGGGACCATGCACTGGAGCCGGCTTCGTTGGTGCTTCGAATGGCTACGAGGTACCCCTGTAACGCTCGCAGGTCGGACAGAATGATGGCCGTGTCGGCTACAGTTTGATTGATCCAGGGACTAGTAGTACTAGAGGAAGCTTCCTTGTATCGAATGTCGTACACGACCGCGAGGCTGCCTCCAGAATCCACAGGAGCACTCCACGTCAAGTTCAAATACCACGACGATCGGTCTCGCAGCACAAGGGGTTGGGGGACGCCCGACGGCGCGACCATGGGCAACGTTGTCACAGACAAGATGCCACTCAATACACTCTCCCCCACGGCGTTGGTAAAGGTAGTAGTGACGTTGTACACTGAACGAGCTTGTAATCCCGTCAACACGACCGACGTCAAGTTCCCTGGCGCAACACTTTTAATGAGCAAGTTGTTTAGGTACACATTTCCTCCAGTCAACGGCGTGCCTCCGCTGTCAAATAAAGCAGCATCTCGTTTTGGAAATGCGATACTGATCCATCCACTCGACACATTGAGCGCCGTGGGGAGGCCTGCGACAGGGGGTACAGGCACAGTGGGCGCTGTAGTCGTCGCTATAACTTCGACAACGCTACTGTTGCCAATGCGATTGGTCACCCAAATACGTACTGTGTACGACCTCAGCGCAGTGAGCCCACCCACGTAGTAGCTGGACTTGTTCCACAGATTCGTGTACACGGTTGAAGCATTGGTGAGGATATCCAAAACAATTGCCGAGGTGTTGGTCAAGGGAACGCCACCAGTGTCATTAGGCAGCGACCACGACCACGACATGGACCCGCCGCTTGTTGCCACGGCGTCCAGCGTCGGGGGCTTCGGCAGACTGGGAGCTGACGTCCGCCCAATGAAACTCGAACTGGCCACACTCTGGGCAACCCCATTTTGAGCCACGATAGAGTACGAGTACGAGGTATTTGCCGAGAGTTTGATCGCGTCTTCGGCGTACGTAGTGTCGATATTGGCCAGGATCGACGTGTTGCCGCGGTAGATGGTGTACGTAAGTGGAAGTAGGCCACCGGTATCCTTTGGGGCAGTCCATATAAGCTGAATAGCTCCGCCGCTGGTACCATTGCCACGTTGGTTGATTGCTGTGACGGGGCCTGGACGAGAAGGTGAAGACGTTGACACGGTTGCCACCGAACTGTTTGCACTCGATCCTACGATCGATACTGCGGCCACTTGGATTGGATAGTTCGTCGACGCTTGCAAACCGTACTGCACGAATGACGTGGCATTGCCACTGTACAGCACCGCCCAGTTGTCGTCGTTGTTGAGGACGCCATACACCCAATACGACTTGATACTGAACCCACCAGTTTGAGCTGGGGGAAACCACTGCAGTGTCACAGAGCCCCCCGTGCTGTTGACTAGAATAGGCGGCAAGGGAGCGTCGGGGACCGTGGCGTTCATAGTGAGTACAACTAGCTGATTACTAAGTCCTTCGTCGGACGAGCAAAACGACAGCGTGTTATATGGCACCACGGCAAATCGATACCGAGTGTTTTGAGCCAAGTTTGGCACGATGACAGACGTAGAGGGGTCGGCTGGGTTGTCCACTGCCAACACGAACGTTCCGTCGGGGTTCCATTGCTTGATACCGTATCCCACAATCGGCACCCCGCCGGAATCAACCGGCGGACTCCAGGACAATACAAGCTGGCCCATGGATTCAAAGGTGACATGCGGGGCATCTTGTAGATCGGGGAGTGTGGGTGGGCTGGTCGTGTATTTCTGGACGTGGCTTGCATTGCGAGACATACCCTAGATATAGAATACCATTTGATTAGTTTGAAACCACATCACAATGATATATATATATATATATATATATATATCGGACATCGGACATACCAATGAGTTGGAAACATATGCTTGAATAAAGTACGACGTGTTTTGTTGCAGGCCACCAACAATACACCGACCAATAAAGGGAAAAACCTCGGTGGTAGTGTTCCCCGAGCAACCGACTTTGAACGTCGCGTTGTCGCATATGGAGCTGCGGTACATGACGGTAAAGTTCTCAATGGCAGCGCCTCCGTCGTAGAATGGAGCTGGAATGGCAATACCTAGCGACCCTCCCGTGATTCGAAACGTGTCGACGTGGGTCGGAGCGTACGGAACGTCCACGGCCGCCGTGGTAAAGTTGAACTGAAAGCTGGTGCTTTCCAGTTGCGCCGCGTTCGTACACGTTATGGCCATGGTATATATCGTTTGAGGGGTTAAATTGGGGATAGTGTAGGGGAACTGAAATGGCACCGACGCTTGCAACACCAACGTCGTGAGGTTTGAGTCCAAGTTGTAGTTCCATACCCGACACGAGCGGAGGCCAACACCGCCGTCACCGAGCGAATCCATCGACCACTGCAGTGTGATCCAGGTCGCGTACGTGCCCACCACCGTCGCACTCGTCGGCGGTGCAGGCGAGGTGGCAGGTAGTGTCTGCATGATCAATGGAAGTGTCCAGATGGAGCTGCCGTTCACGTTGATCGCTGACGCTTGGGCAGAATACACCGTGTCGGCCTTCAAGCCTCGGACCAGGTACGATGTGTTGGTTGTGGTAAAGTGGTAGCTCGGCGGATATATCGACACATTATACATAACGTCCCATACTGACACGCATCCAGTGTACTTTGGAGGGTCCCATGACAACAAGATGCTGCCACCAGACAAGGCTGTGGACTGCATGTTGGCTGGAGGATCAGGGGTGCCAACTGTCGAGTCCCACACGTGAATTTGCATTCGCGGCGTTGATCGTATCTTGGACGACGGGCTGGATGACCCTAGCTCCAACGTGATTGTATCTGGGAGATTGAAACCTTGCGATACAGTGATGGGCACGGGAATGTACTTGACATGTTCGCCCACTGCAAATGTAGCATTGGCTTGGAACATCCCGCCAGGAAGATGGTACGATGCAGACGAAGATGTGACTGTAAAAGCCACCACCGTCGACGACAGGTCGCGGTGAACTCCCACAGACACGCTCGAGCAGTTTTCAAACACTGTCACATCCAGCAATGTGAACATCACCACGGAACTGTCTAGATTGTCGTTGACGTGAATCACAACCCGAGACGTTTGCAAAGTAAATGTTGACGATGGAAGGATGTCGCCTGTGATGTTGTACGCTGGGGTGTAGTCTGCGATAGAGGGCAACAGCACACGCAAGATCATTTCACGCTGGCCGGCTTGGAATGTCAAGGTCGAGTTCGTTGCCACACAAGGCGACACAAGGCATGGCGTGCAGATCAACGTGACAGTGTCACATGCGTAGAAGTTGGTCAGCGCAATCGACACAGTTTGAACCGAATTGCTGTACACCCCATATCGTTGTAGTACGAGAATAGCACTACCTCCTTCCGACCCCACGACACTGGCAGCGCTCCACGTCATCGCATTGGGTGGGTTTGGATCTGCGACTGTCATGGAATACGACACGGACGTCCCGAGCACCGATGCCCCAAATCCCCGAACAAGACTGGCATTCATAGAGTATGGTAGAATGTACCCGCCGTCGTCCACAGGCAAGCGTATCTGCACCACTTTAGAGCGTTCGCCAGGCAGGAACGTGACCAAATTGGAGCAAATGGGCTGCATCACGATGGAATATTCAGCCATGTTGGACGACACGGCGCTGGACAGTTTTGATTTCAACTGGCATGTCGTGGTGGATGGCTTAAAGTGAAACCCCACACATGTGGCAGTGCGGTGGCACAGCGCGTAGCAGTCGACATCAGTCAAAGTAGACGCAGTGCCGAGGTTGCTGTCTGTAAAATCCACGCCATCATACCGTTCGGTGCATTGGGGCGACGGCACGCCCGAGATGACGTTGGAGCTGGCCACCGAATTCAACGGATACGCCTTCAATTTACATGTGACAGAGGCCGACACGTACGAATAGGCCCCGCAGCCACTAGTGTTGGCGCACAACTGGCAACACTCGGCCTGCGAAATGCCAATCTTTTGAGAAATATCGTTCCCAAGGAACTCTGTGCCCGCGACTTGCCATCCACACAACGAGGTAGGAACAGCACACTTTAACGTCATGGCATCGCACACGTACGCTTCGCTGCTGCTGCGGTTGCTCCCAATCGAAACGGATACTGATTCGGAGAACGCCAAGCCAAAGTCTCTTGTGATGGTTGCGTTGACCACAGCACCTTTGGTTACGCTGAGGCTCGATGGGGGCACCCAGTTGAACGTTCCATGTACTGCCGAGTAGTCGTCAATATTGAGGTACATGGTAGGGTTGTTTGCGATGGTGGCTCCAGATGGGACACTGGTGAGACTGATGCTGATGGTGTACGCTGTGGCGGAGGTAGGCACGACGACTGAGATCGTCGCCTCGGTGTCGCCAGCATTAAACGAAATGAGTTGGGGCGTCGCACAGTTTCGATTTGGCACTAGCGCGGCAATCCACCACCCCAAGTTGGGCGTCGTGAGGGCATACTTGATGTAGCACAAGTTGGTAAACGAGCTATAGTACAGCCCCACACAGTTTGAATTGGCCACACAATTCGCCAAGCAATCCAACTCGTTGCTTTCTGTTGTATGGGAGATGTCGTTGCCTGCAAAGTTGACACCGGCAAGGCGGGCGTAGCACTTTGTCGTTATAAGGCCTGTCACGCGGCCACTTTCAATTGTAGCGTCTGGCACTGCGTCCTTCAAATAGCACGCGCTAGATGGAACCCACGTGAACGACTGACACCAGTCCAAGCTCACACACTCGGCAGCGCATGCATCGGCACTAAACTGGCTTGTTTGCAATCGGTCGCTGCCGACTACATCCACGTCCATAAACAAATAGCTCCGTCGCTTCGGAGCACACACTCGGGACACGCTGTCGCAGGTGTATTCTTGGTCGCTAGAGAGCGCAATGGCCACGGTTTCGTCGTATTGAATGCCGTTCTGCCGCACGATTGTCAGGTCGACAGTCGATCCAAATGAGCCAACAACCGTGTGTGATTTCCACTTGAACGTGCGCGCCAACGCCCCGGACGTGGTCACGTTGAACGTCGTCGCAGGGCCGATTCCACCCACACCAAGAGACGCCACATGGATCACATAACTGGTCGAGACATTCAATTTCGCCATGGACAGTGGAGCGCATGCGGTGGACGGGTACCCAAGGCCAACGCCAGTATATGTTGTCGAAGCCACAACTCGATTTCCACTGGTTGGACTCAGGACGTCCAGTTGATATGCTAGCACCTCGCTGCCGTACGTTTGAGTTGGCGCAAACAGGCACAGGTTGATGCTGTACTCTGTCACAGACTGCGCTTCAACTCGAGGCGGGTCGGGGATGCCAGGCAAGGTCGCAAATTGCGCAGACGTCCACAAGGATGAGTTCACCGTGCGGGCTCTTACAAGGTACACCCTTCCTGGTTGCAACGAGCCAACACTGGACAAGGTTGAAGGTGAGCATGGAAAGGCCGTGGACACGGCAGTACTTTGGTCCAGAATTTGGCATTCAAATATGGAGCTGGACGAACTAGTCGAGGACATCTGGCAAGATGGAGACACTTGAAGCACAAACGACGTGGCGTTCAACGTCAAGAGCGAAATCGAAGGCTGCACTGTTGTGTTGCCATATACACGCGGTACAGCCGTCAGGTTGGCTAAGGTTTGGCCATACATGTTGCGCCCAATCACGTAACATGAGTAGTCGACGTTCGCCTGCGATAAGGGGTTGCACATGGCAAAATCCAACAGGCACGACGAGACCTAGTCCATATTAATAATAGACCAGTGTATGTACAGTATACACAGGTATACCATGTTTGCAGTTGGGGTGCACGTGCTCAGGGTTATCGAAGTGCTATTGCTCGTACAAATGATATTGTACTCGAAGATGGCATTCCCGCCTTGGTGCTACAATCATATAACGACAATATCAAAACTATATATATATAAATTGACATGCCTTTGGATAGTCCCAACTGAACATGAGTAGTCCATTCACATCTTGAACATTTCGCAGTTGGATTGCATCAGGAGGGATGCCAGCGCCGCTAAGACAAGGATATATACCCAAATGAAAACATGCAAAACCAATACATGTTTCACCACGTACAGTGTGTTGGTTATGACCGTGGTGGTCGTTGTACTGTATCCCATATTGTTGACCACATAGGCTTCAACCAAGTACGCAGTGGACGCCACGAGGTCGTTTACATTACACTCGGGCGACGGTGACAAGCACACGGACCGCCGAAACCCTTTTTTGCCGCAAAGAGTCGTAGCACCGGAGCTGGTATGTGTGCACTTCATCCCATTTTGCCCAATGCACGATGAGTTGGGGGAACTGCCGTCAGCATCCATAACAATGTCACACATCGAGCACTCGTTGCCTGTCGCAGACAACTCTGCATTGTAGCACGCTTCGATCGATATGACGTCGACCCCGTACTGGAACGCCATGTACCCCCCAGATTCCAGCGGCGGTTGCAGTGCCAGCACCACAAAATCACTTCCTGCTGTCACCACCTGCACACCCCGTGGAGCCGACGGAAGGGAAGGTCCTGTGGTGGTAGCGCGAACGGAGTTATGATATGGACTACTTTGGGCGGCCTCGGTTAGCACGGAAATATAAAACTCCTTTGAAGTATTGTATGGAAGGGATGTCAGTGTAAACCGAGGACTTGTGACATGTTGGACCAAAGCCAAGTTGAAAGACAACGGCAACACTTGATACACATTGAATCCTACCAACCACCACTCCCTCAGTCAGTATATTTATATATATATATCAAACATATAGATGTGCACTTACCCAACACGGTAGATCCGCCCGATTCTACTGGGGGTAGCCACTGCACGGTTATAGTACTGGCGGTAGTCTCCACGCTGATATTCTGAATTGGTCCTGGAGTAGATGGCCCTCGTGTTCTCAAGGACAAGCTAGGACTGGCACGTGTAGTTCCAAAGTTGGTCACCATTGCACACTGAGCGTCGTAGTTTGTGTTGGCAGTGAGGTTGGATGCCATGAAAACATCGCGAGAAATGGCTTGAACTGACACATTGTTCATGTACACCACGTAGCCGACGAGCGTCGCTCCGTTCATGTCGTGCGGCTGGGCGCAGCGAATGTAGCTGGTGCTGGCGGTAGCGTTGAGCATGTGGATAGAAGGAGGCGACTGGGGCAAAGCGGCAGCAAGGGTGGTGACACTGGTGACTCGTCCAAACCCGATCAAGTCTTGCCAGCTGTGGCACACCATGTCGTCTGTCACGGCCACTACTTGGATGTTGTAGGTAGTGTGGGGCAAGATGGGCATGGTTTGTGAGGGGTTGGTGTAGAATAGATCAAACGTCAAGCTCTCGTCTGGCGTGTGGATGGTCTTGGCTGCTAGTGTCCAATTGGTCGAATTCCACGTCGACAGGTAGATGTAAAAACCAACAATGTTGTAGCCGCCTACACACACCAAATGTATATTGGGAATATTCACAATATATATATATATATACGCGCATAGGTTACCTGTATCCAATGGCCGGTCAATGGAAATTGAGATGGATCCACCTAAATTAGACCCATATTGGATGTTCAGACAATTGAATTACTTTGGCAGGAGGTCGTACCCGTAGCTTGTCGCAGGTACGGTGTGGGGACATATGGATGGAAGAGAGACTTGACATGTGTTCGGACTTGAAATAATTCACTCATGGAGCTTTCAAGACCGAGGGTATTGGTCACCGAGGCGCGCAAGTCGATGGTGGCATTGCTGGGTAGGTGGTACACCCAAATCTCAAAGCTGTTTGTGGCTCTGTCCAACGTCCCACCTCGTGCCACCACTTCATACTTGCCCCAGTGGAACTGTTCAATCGTTATGGACGACAGTGGGGCGCCGCCGACATCAGAGATTCCTCCCACTTGCACTTGCACTGCACCGGAAGTTGTGACAAGGGCAGCCAGCGACGTCGGAGCCGACGGCTTTGCACTGGTGGTACTGTTCATGGCGAGAACAAGGGTTTCACTGGGAGGGCCATCCCCCAATGCATTGGTGGCCACAATCGACAGCAGGTACGTAGTGTTGGAGAGAAGGTTGAACAAGGTGGTTTCGTACACATTGGACACTTTCGACACGCGAAATCCATTCACGTACAGTGTAAAGTACAGGCATGGCAGGCCCCCAGTATCATACTCTGGCATCCTAGTACGAAATAATATGAGGATATGAAAGAAGCTACTGTAGGTATATATATATATATCTACCACTGAATACGAGCACTTGTTTGGTGGAGTTGCGCTGTCACATTCAAGACAGCGCCTGGGCGAGTGGGGGCAGTTGTCTTCACCACCAAGATCGTCGATACGTCGAAACTCTTGCCAGACACGGTTTCGTAGTGTAGTCGAACGCTGTAGCTCGTGGCTGGACTCAGCCGATTCAATTGGAATCGACCGATTGAATACGTCCTTGCAACCGTGTCACATATCCCGCCATAGGCCAAGGAGCCATCGAGCATACACGGTGTGTTGCAATAGAGCGCGTCCACGGGCCGACTGGACCTCCTCCCACTGCCACACATGCAAACACCACCGCGAGACAAGCTAAACTGCTGGCTCACGCGGCTACGCACCGCCGTGACATTCTGCACAAGGAAGTGGTTGCCATGGCCACTGCTATCGACGCCACTCACGTCGGCACTTGCATTCGACTTGGCCAGCCTACACGTTTGGCAAAGTTAGCGCGTTCGAATGGTCCATATTAACATAACATTCTACCTCAAATGCAACACAATATCCCGTGCGACATCGTTGTCGTCCTGCAGTACTGCTTGCGCTGATACATAGTTGTATGGCCACAATCGGACCTAATATACGCCATATAGTGACAGGGAGTTTTTGACTTGGCATATATGGCGTTTGTATATGATTTTCGATATTTGCATACCTGGTCCACCAATGCTTCCAATGCAGAGTATTCCAGCCCGTACATGGAATCTACCATATATGCCACGACATGAATCATGTCCATAATCTTCGATATATCAAATATATATTTATATATACCTCGTCCAATTTGAAGGATTCCAAGGGTAGCTGTCGTAGTAGTAGCACACGATGGCAACGCGTCGACTTGAGCGATGGCCACACCGTTCACAGACACGACAACCGCCCTCGTACTGGACGACCATGCAAACGCCAGCTCAAGCCACTCGTTCGTGGGCAATATGTACGGAATGTCTTGGCGTGTCGCACAGGTCTGGATTCGTAAGCCACTTGCAGAGCAACTGGCGGCAATTGTCTGTTGTCCAAACATAAACAGCAACGAATTCGACGGACTCGTGTGGTTGATCCAAATGGACATGCCAAGTGTCCAATCTGGCAAGTCGAACACTGTCAAGCTGCGCAGAACTGACAGCCCCGTGAGACGACCTTGGGTGTCGGCTGTAAAGCAGTCGGCCGCGCACGAAGATGGAGTGGCCGACTCCGTCGCTGGGATTTCCAGCGCCAAGGTGTTGCCGATACGGCATCCCGTCGACACAATCCCCTGCCCAGAATACGCCACAGATTCGTCGCCTTGTCCTTCTTGGCCAAGGTACACCGTGTACTCGACCACTTGTTCGTTGTCGGCGTTGCCAGTGTTATACTGATGGTACAGCACCATCGCGCCGCCCGTCACTGCCTCCAGCACGAGCTCGCCGTGGATATCTCCCCCTCCTTTGGACTGGAATATGGACATGTTTTGCAGCGATACGTCGTCGTCAAAGTACGAGTCGGCGGTAAACACAAGCTGGAATGCATCATACAAGCCCGCTGACTCGTTGGCCAAAAACTCCAAGTGTTTTGGTTGCCACTTGCCAAGCTCGACGGCTTGGTCACTGGACCAGGTCAAGAGCACGATCGAGGTGTTGGATGAGGGAGGTACAGCAATGACGACGCCCACCACTTGAGTTGTTAGGGAAGCATGTTCTACACCATCATCATCGTTGTAGATTTATATATATATATATATATATATATTGAATTGGTGCAAGGTAGAAGACACGCTGATGTAAGGACATTCGTACCAGAATCGATGCGATACATAAAGTCAATAGCAACGTTGTGTGACGAGGTAAAGAAGGGCAGACTGAGCAAGGTCGCCCTGGACAACACCGACGGCTGGGTATCCATAGGAATATACCATGTAACTCGCGCCGACGTGGCAGATCTGCACGTGGACGCCAACCATTCTGTATGCGACATCGTTTGAGTGCGGGTAAATGCGACGTCCACGCTTCCAACGAACGCCTGTGACGGCGTGACCATCAGCCGCATAAACTCGATGTCTGGTGGAATCCTGACAATCCCATCACACGAGGTCGGGTTGTACTCGAACGACAAGGCAGGTCCACTTGAGCTGGTCACGTTGATGTCAAGTGCAATACACGGAACCATGGCAAATGTAATCACGGTGGTGAGCCAGTCGTGGTTGGTGGTGGAGACGCGGAATTCGCTGGGCGTTTGGCCTGGGAGGTCGGCTTGAAACAGTGTCACATGCATCGGATTCGCAACACACGATGGAAGTATCGCGTTATTCGTCGGGCTGTCGGCAATGCAAGGAAGGAGCATGTCCATCCAATCAAGCGCGACGTGCGACGACGTGCCGCCAGTGGATTGCTTGACAGCCTCCAGCGTAAACGAGATCATCGGAGGTATGTCGGTCGTGTTTTGGACCAAGAGCGTGTCATTCACGAACGAGTGGTTGGTTCCTGTGACGAGGTTGTACGTGCACGACATATTGTAACTCTGCGACAACGTCGACCCTCGCCAGCGTACACTCAAATTCGAGCACGGAGCCAACTTCACAGACACGTCCAGCGATGTCGTCGTCGGGTCGTCCAGGAGAAACACAGGCAACGACAGCTGCGTTCGGCATGTGGATGCAGAGGATGCGATGATGGCGCTGGGATACGGCGCAATCAGCAGCGGCACCACTGGAATGCAATCCCGAGGTTGGGATGTTGTGATTTCTGTGACAACTACATGGCCACTCGAGTATGTTTTCATCACAAGGCGAATGATCAAGACGGTCAACGGATCCACGGGCGTGATGGAAATCCTCGTCGCACATGGGAGATTGGTCCATGTCCACGAAGGTTGGCCGGCATACGTCGTCGCATGTATTATCGACGTCGTCGCATTGGTTGCCACCGATGCAACTGGAGCGGAAAAGAAGACTTGCACTTCGCTCCACACAACCGGAAGATCAAGTCCAACAGCAAAGTACTCTAGCGGATAGAGCTGAACAATGCCGTCTTTATCAGTGGCCATGGCGGACACTTTCGTGGTTGTTATATGGACGTCGTCCAGTGCATCAATCGTGTCGATAGTTTCCCCCGCGAGCAACCGCACGATGGACGACTGAGCATAGGTAGAGGAGCCGTTGAATACGCAGAACGATCCGTGCAGTGTCACATACAGCGTCCCAGCATGTGGTGTTGGAACCATCGAAATCGTCGTGTTCGCTGCGATGGTGGTCGAGGTCCACGACCCACTGAGCCAATCAAACGGTTGGTTGTCATCGTCTACTTCCGATACAAACACGTTTTGAAGAGATACCCCGGTCCAGTCCAGTGTCACAGAAAGCGAAGACATATCGACCACATCCATCGACTCATGAAACATCATGACGCACGATTCAATCCACTCGCTCAGGTGAAATGTGTACACGGACTCGTTAAAGAACGCCATTGACGTAAACAGTCGCCCTGGCAACATGATCGAAGCAGCGTCGAGATGGCGTCGGGACGACGGGGCCTCGTGCCGGATGAAGCTATCGACGTCCACCGCAATCTCTTGCACTGTGGGCTCCACCACGGCTACCCCGGGTGTTTCGATAGCCGACTCCAATGGTACTTCATTCAATGACCTCCACAATGGTAAATCAGGTGACGAAGATGGAACTTCCAGAACATTGGCCAGGACACGTGGCGCCATCCGAGGCGAGTACACTGGGTCGTGCAGGTGTAGGCTCAAGTACGTCGAATATGCATAGTCCACAGGTCCAAGTGTCCATTGGGCCTGCCACGTCACGGCAATGGTTCCAATATACCCCGAAATGCCGTGAAAGTAGATGGATGCTGGCCATTCAAAGAACTCTGCTCTTTGAAGTCCTTGTGTCCCATCGAAGGTGGAGGTCGATGGCAGCAGCATCGTGTGGTCAGCATTTGTCGACGTGAGGGTGTGTACGCTGTCCCATGTCAATATAAACCGCACGGGGCCAGTGGGAACGTTCGGCCACACTTTGTCACATGACGGAATGGCCACCACAAGGTCCTCAGACGACGGCGATAACTCGACCACGTGACGTACACGAGGTTCAATCCACGCCAACATGATCGCACCCAACACTGTCACATTGCGTTTATGCGATACCGTTCGCTGAAGCAGGGTTAGGTTGACGCTGCCGGTAAAGTTGTGTCGCATGGTCAGTCGAAGCACAACAGATGACAAAGGACGTGCATTCATGTGGAGATTCAGCCAATGGCGGTTGCACGCGGTTGCATCCGACTGTATCGCAACAGTATTAAAGGAGTGATGGTCAATCAACTCCATCACATCCATGGTGCCATTGTCGGTTTCAAACCCGAGTTGAAACAAAGCCGGCAACAACCACGTCACAGCTAGGTCCACACCGTGGTTGCGCTCGGCGAGTCCATTTTTCACCCGCCATTGAACCGTGGGCGTGACATGCTGGCTACCCGTGGACCTGCCATCGTTCAACACTCGGTGGGATGGACTTGTGGGTTGGCGGGAGCTGCTGGATACGGTGAGCACCGGCAGACCCGTGGCGCTGTCCAGCTTGGGGTACCACCTTGCGTTCGACTGGGCGTTGTAATAGCCACATGCGCCAGGCGATGTCAGAGCGCATACAACACTGTCAGACGACAAATATGCTATGTAAACAACATACCATGAGCAATCCCATGTATGGAACGAGGCATTGTACCATCTTGGAGAACAGGTAGAAATGTCTGCGAAGGAGGCTGCGACAGTGTCGTGCTGTTGTTGTCGACGGGTCGGAACGATGTCAATGGGTAAAACACTTGTGGCGCCGGCATGTCGTTGACACGCACGTGGATTTCAAACACATTCGATGCGAGCCATGCGATACAGTTCAACTAACAACCGAACGAGATGATCATGTTGGCTCAAGCCATCGTGTTTTTTGCACGAGTATGATATATACCTGCAGCAATGCAATGGTTGTATCGGTACGATCGTACAATTGAGGATTGAGCACCAAGTCAAATGACGTGGATGGCGTGAAGCTAGTTAGCACCACCACCGCGGAAGATGGATTCAAGAGTAGCCCACGATGGTCTTGGTCCAGCAAGTTCACTTGAATCGACATGGGTTGTATCGATGGCAGGGTGAAGATCTCAATGTGAGCCACTAGGATACATGTACATCATCGCATTTCGAGATTGGCATGAGGTGAATATGGACATACGTACCAGAGCAGGTGCTAGAGGTGAGGGAATCCGCTGCCGTCAAACATTGCAAGTCGCTGTGGTTACTGGCTTGGTCGTCTTCGCCTATATATACTCGTACTGTATGTGGCTTTACACAATAGCATTTCGTCAAGTACCTAAAGGTGCAAATCGAGCGTCGACGGCTCGCACACACATGGCTTCGTTGTCGCTTCGAACGGAGAGGGCTGAAATGGGGACGACTGGACGGGGGTACTTTGGCACGATCCAGCCATTCACGGACCTACAGGATGGACATGTCATGAGGATGTTCACGTGCATCGAGAATCGTTGTCAGGACGTACACTTGAAGCGATGAACTCGTGACTCGAAACTGAATGCGCTGCACGGGTGCGGTCAAAATGGCCAGACTTGTGACGACGATGCTGCTGGTGGTGGTGGCATCACGCCAAGTCGCCTTGTTGCTAGTCGAATTCAACTCGAACGATCCGACGGTGCCGTTTGCATTGTCACGCAAGGTCACGGTGATGGTTTGCCCGACATGCCAGCTTGTCTCGAGCGTGAAATTCGATCCAATGCCTAGCTGCTGCTTGAAGACCTGGGCACCAGCAAGGGCCACCTTTCGATCGTTCGGAGAAAAGTGCTGGCTCTGAGTGTCATTCACTGCGTATGGCTTGGAACACAAGTGCCGGTAAGGGTTGTACAGGTCAAACGCTTCGTTGGCCAACACGCAACACCTTCCATTGTCGGCATCCGGGCAAATCGCCCCGAGCACTGCTGGTTCGCACGACCTGTTTGTAGGCAGGAACGGTGTGAAGTAATCATCGTAGCGCAAGGACGCTGTTGCTGCAACAAGTTGACACGAGTTGCATCCGTTGACATTGCTGAAGCAACTCTCCATGGCGTCGACATCGGCCTGCCAGCAGGTCGTCGTCCCGCCGACCAGCCACAAGCATCCGAGAACGAGCCAAAGGAGCATCGCTTGGGCGAGGCGCATTATACCCGCCCTCTATCGTGGTTCTCGATGGTACTTCCTTGGAAAGAGTTCGTGCGATCTTTACAAACCTTCTTATTTCTGCAAAAGGGATGGTGGCAATCACACATGTTCGAAATCCCATCACACTGGCTGGCCTCCATGTTGTCCACTTGCTCTACATGTAGTACTTACTGGTTAAGCCTCATCTGAGTTAGGGCGTCGGAAGTGTGTCCATCACGCCACTCGAATGCTGCAGGGAAGCAAGCGTCCACGATGACGTCGACGCGACGCCGCCAGCTCTCCAATCCCCGTTCCATGAAGTGTCGCCTATCTTTTTTGTCAACATGATCGAAAAAACCGTAAAACGAGCCAATCACGTGTCTAGGATTTCTTTGAAATTCCTTATTCCAGTATAGTTTTGATATTTACTGTGAGAATTGAATTAGTGTGACAAATAAATCGCGCGCCAAGACACCACCCTCTAAGAATTCAAAAACTGAGTCACCGCGATGGAGCAAGCCTTCTTCGGAGAGATCGGTCGTCATTTTCGAAAAGACCCTGCAGATGAACGTTGTCGCGACGAAAGCGCCTCGCGCCAACAAGCGGAAAGCTTCGTCCAACGTGGCGCTTAGCGGAGGACACTGCAAGGACGAAGGACGCCACGCTATGAATCGACCAAAAAAGGTCCAAGCCACGTCGACCTTGTCGACGCGGCCGAGCAAATCCGTGGATATTCGAGAGAATGGTGCAGATGTTAGCGGGCAACCAATCTCCTTCGTGTGCAAAATGGTGCTGAAGTACATTGACGACATGGAACAAAGCGAGCGCGGTTATCCCATCGTCCTCCGCGCCAACGCTTTGGAATCTAGTCTGGGTCTTCCCCGCAGACGAATCTACGACGTGTTTCACATCCTCCAGGCCATTGGACTGCTCGGCAAAGGGCCTCAACTGTTTCCACCCATTCGGGGGCATCACTACTACGGAGAAGATGCAGTGGTTCCAACCATCGCGAGTGTTAAGGCGAGCGCCGTAGTACTGGTGCACAAGAAGGGGGAAAGACGGTCGAAACCAACCTACCATGCTCCGTCCAAGCTACGCGTGGTCCCACCAGTCCCCAATGTCAACGAGCAAGCGGTACCCAATGGCACCAAACTTCCCGCGCTTTGGCAAGCGACGCAGAAGCTCTTGAAGTGCATTTTCGCTCGTGGCGGGTCGATTAGCTTGCGCGAAATCTACACTTTGGACGACGACAACGATGGATCCTCTTCGAAGAGCCGCCGATATTACGACGTGCTGGCGGTCTTGTCGGCATGCAACATCCTCAAGTTCAACACAGACTCCAAGTTCGACCGAGCCAAGGTCGCCCTCATGAACCCCGCGCTTTTGACCGCTCTGTCGACCCCCATGTCAGCCTTCACCGTGTTTGAACTAATGCGCCTCGAGAACCTTTCGACCATCGCACATGTCCCCAGTCCACACAATCCCAAAGCGACAAGTGACAAGAAACCACGGTTGTGGGCGAAACAAAAGGCGTCCCAGCGCCAACTGATCGTTCACACCGACACTCCGTCGGCCCATGCCGCCTCCTGCGATGGAAATATGCGCGAGTGCCAGGACTCGGTGTCGTTTGCGGGTTTGTTAGACACGTCCCTGTTTGACAACGAGCCATTCGGAGCATTCTACCCGACAACAACAGGACCCGACGACTGTGCGGCGGACGAACCACATCGACCTGTCAACAAGAATGGCCTCAGGTTCCTTCTGTCCCCCTGCAAGCACATGCACGACCACGACGAGTTCTCGTTTGCGCTGTTCCCACTCGATTGTGACAACATGGACGATTTCACCGACTTGTAGGTAGGGTAGTTAGTAGAGTGGTAGATTCAAGTAAGGAATAGCACTGTGTTGGGAAGGAACAAAGTATACGTATCGTGACGAACGGGGTGTAGCATGTTATCCGTGGGTGTCGCGACTATCCTGTGGCGGTTGCTCTCGTTCGGTGAGGCCGTAGTCCCGCACGATGCCGCCAATGCTGATGCGGTAGTCTTGGAAGATCCCATCTCGTCCTTTGGCCTGGGCGAAGCGATGGGACTCGATGTTTCGCCAACGCTGAATGGCCGCTTCGTCCCGCCAAAACGACAGCGACAGCACCTTGTCCGGACTGCTGAGACTCTGAAAGCGCTCGATCGAGGTGAACCCGTCGATGTCCTTCAGCAGCGGCGGAAGGGACGCGGCGATGTCGAGGTACTGTTGCTTGGCATGCGCATGCGGAAACACTTCAAATATCACGGCGATCATGGACGCAGGACGTTCGAAACTGCCGCATCAAGCACGCCGCCATTGTGACGTGGTTTGCCCACCAACTTTCGATTTCACCATATTGGCGGGGGAGCTGAGGAATTCCAACAACAGATTGTGCATATTTGATTAAAATTAATTTTATTACAAGGCTGTTCTATGGTACAGTGGAAATAAAATTCACAGCCAGTCTATTTTGACTTGGCTGTCGCGCAGGTTTTCTTGGTTTCCATTCAATTTAGTCCGTGAACACAACCGAAAAAACGACTGTGGAACGTTGGCGAATGAGCACCACCTCGCTTGACGATGGCAACGAGCGGCACTACCGCCAGAGGCTGGAGGACCTGCAGTTCACAAGGGACCAGGAGCGGGAACTTGCGATGGCCGACGAAGGTGACACCTATGCGGAGCCATACGACGAAGAGCTCGAGTGCGGCCTCCACGTGCCGCATCGTGTGTGGACGGGCTTGTTTCCACATCAAAAGGAAGGGTTGGCGTGGCTGTACAGTCTGCACAAGCAAAACGCAGGTGGTATACTGGGCGACGACATGGGTCTAGGCAAAACCATCCAAATATGCGCGTTCCTGGCGAGCCTCATGTCGATGAAGGTCCTTCATTCGGTACCGTCGTCCATCTGACGCTACCCGTTGCTAACTTCATGGCAGGTCCTGCTGGCATGTCCTGCGTCGGTGCTCTGGCATTGGGTCCGAGAGATGCACAAGTGGTGCCCTGAGATGCGCGTGGTGCTGCTGCACTCGTCTGGCACGGCCACCTGCACGTACGGCACGTCCATCAAGAACGTGTACGCCAAGGGCGGCATGATCGTGACCACGTACGAGAACCTGCGAAGCAACGCCGAGTTTTTGATTCCCAAGGAATGGGATTACGTCATCTTGGACGAAGGCCACAAGATTCGCAACCCCGACGCCGAAATCACGTTGGTCACCAAACAACTGCGCACGGTCCATCGCATCATCCTCACGGGATCGCCCATTCAAGTAAGCAATATATATATATATATATATTGATAGTTGGCTCATGGTGGTTGTGTAGAACCGATTAAAAGAGCTGTGGAGTTTGTTTGACTTTGTCTTTCCAGGCAAACTCGGCACGTTTCCAACGTTTGAGGTATTATTACTCTATATATATTCATCATTCCGTGTCCATACTGTCCTTTTACCCAACATTTGGACTTTTGTGCTGATTCGCCAAATCCATCGATCGATATTTTGTACTTCCTCTGTTCCAGGTTACTGCCGACATTTACTTTGAATTGACACGACAATCGAGCCCTCACTCAATTTGGGCGAATGATACTTTGTTTGAAAGGGAATTGCATGAATTTTCGCAAAAGATTGGTTTATAATCAGCGCTTAAAGCAATTGTAAGCCAATGAAATGTCATGAGTGTTCGATATTGATAGAAATTGAAGAATTACAGCCAATGAAATGCAAATGTCGCCAGTATCTTGGAACATGCGAATTTTGAAATGTCGGCAGTAACCTGGAACAGAGGAACTTTGTACGTAAAAACGGGATACCAATCACACTAATTAAAGTCGCACACTAAATCGAGTTTGATGGGTTGAACTGATGATTTTCTGCAATCTGATTGGCTCAATATTACTGCCTCCAGTTTATTATCAAACACAACAATATCATGTGTTTGGTATATTTTTTCGTCTATATCGTTTCAATTAGGACGAGTTTGTGCTGCCGATTCGGCATGGCGGGTACGCGAATGCGTCAAAGATGCAAATTCTCATGGCGTACAAGTGCGCGATGGTGCTTCGCGACATCATGGCCCCGTACATGCTTCGTCGCATGAAGAAAGACGTGCAGATCGCCACGGATTTGCCGCACAAGATCGAGCAAGTGATCTTTTGCAGCCTCTCCAGTGCGCAGCGGTCAGCGTACAAACTGTTTCTGTGTTCATCCGAAGTGCGGTCCGTCCTGGCGCGGGAGGTCAAGCCATTCCGGGCACTCACGATGCTACGCCACATTTGCAACCACCCCGATTTGGTGAGCAATGCGGCCGAACATGTCACGAAACCCCATCACATTTCAATCGACAACTTGGACGACGATTATGGCGCAATCGACCAGAGCGGCAAGCTTCAAGTGCTAGACACAATCCTCCGGGTGTGGAAAGGTCAGAACCACCGCGTGCTGATCTTTGCCCAGCATCGGCGCACCGTCGACATATTGGCCAAGATGATGCGGCAATTGCAGTACATGTATTGCCGGCTGGATGGCACGACGGCGGTGCGGGAGCGGCAGGCGCTTATCGATGCATTCAATGCGCCCGACAGTTGCTTGTTTGTGTTCCTGCTCACGACTCGCGCAGGCGGTATCGGCGTCAACTTGACCGGAGCGGACCGCGTGGTGATTTTTGATCCGGACTGGAACCCGAGCACCGACATGCAGGCGCGGGAGCGGGCATGGCGCCTCGGGCAGACCAAACCCGTGACCATCTACCGGTTGATCACCTCCGGCACGATCGAGGAAAAGATCTACCACCGGCAGCTGTTCAAGCAGTACTTGATGAACAAGGTGCTGCGGGACCCCAAGCAGAAGCGATGCTTTAACCACAACACGCTCGCGGATTTGTTTGTGCTTACCGACGCAGCCGACTTGGCCAAGGACGAGCATGGCCACGCCATGCAAACCACGGGCACCGAAACCGGCGACTTGTACCTACACGGGCATGTGGACGTGGCAGCCGAGGTGGCGACGCTGCAGGCGCAACTGGGCGACGCGGCGCGGGTCGTTGTCCGGGCATCGGAAGAGGCGAAGAAGCACAAGGTGACCGATGGCGAGGCGGATGAGGTCGAAGACGAGCAGGATGGCAAGGACGATGGCAAGGACGACAACACAGACAACACGGAGATCCTCAAGGCGTTGATGGAAGGCGGCGCGATCAGCGGCGTATTCAGCCAAGACAGCGTCGAAAGCGACGGCGTACACAACCAAGAAGCCGACTTGATTCAAATCGAGTCGACCAAGGTGGCGCAGCATTCTCTCAGTACACTGCGGCAGTCATGCAGCGCCATCCGCCAGCAACGCTCGGACCAGTTTGAAGTCACATGGACCGGGCGCAGCGGCAGCGCGGGCCTCCCGTCGACCCCCGCCAAACGCTTTGGAACTAAAATCGCACACACGATCAAGCGCAAATCCGTCACGAATGGCAGTTCTAAGGCAGGGAATAGTGGCTTGGGCCAGCACCACCAAGAGGTGGCAGTTGAGAGTGAAAAGATGCTCAAACGTATGAAAATGCGGCGACTGGCGGTCGACACGGGCGTCCAGTACTCTAGTAGTGCGAAAGCGTCATCAGCAGTGGTTCAATATGGATCCGTGGACGAACTGACCAAGAAATTGCATGCGTTTTTAGCCCACCGCCCCGACGGCGTGCCCACCGACGTGATTGTCCAGACGTTCTGCAACGCCGTATCCCCCAAGGACAAGGACGTTTTTCGTAATTTGCTGCGGAGTATGGCCTCCTGCACTGGCCGCGTGTGGCGGCTCAAGCACGAGTTTTCTACCACTTCGACATAGCATTCGGGTATACTAGTATTAAAACTACTAGTAAGATACGCAGTTTTTTCTATTTGCACTCATGTATTACTACTTGAAAGTAGGAATACTGAAGTCCCCCTACTAGCGGGGGGTATACGGTAGTAGTAAGCTCCTGAACCAGTTCATTATTTGCAGATCAAAAATGACAATATATTGCAAATTTCTATACGTATATTGGATATAAGTTTTACCAGAATCGATTCCAGAATTTTCTAGCAGAACTTCAATATTTGATCAATTTGCATAGAAATCGGAAGGGAGGTGTGGACTTCGTCAGACATCCGTAGGCCGCGAAAATTGACATGTGTCAAGCAAGCACTTCAATCAATACGTATTTACAGTGATGTTCAAATTTCTTCAATGTTATTGGCTCCCGCCTTTACGACTTTCCCTCCAAAATACCTCTACCTCTGCACACACAATCCACACACAATTCAATTCAGCGACATGGTGTTCAACCCTTCTTCCATGCTAGCCAGCCTAGAGGAGCAATCTGTGCGCGACCAGATCTTCTTGAACGAATGTCTCGACCGCTTTGGCCCAGCTGCCGAGGAGCTTGCAGAAGCACCAGACTCGATGCAACCCATAATGGACAAAACTTTGCAAGACGCTGGTCCTGAAGGGTTTCGAGTGATGACCAACTTCACACCTACAGAGTTCGACGTACTGTGGGGTATCATTGAACTCCCGATGCAAGCACGGTGGAATGAAGGCCGCGGCGCCAAGACAAAGACGAGTGCCCGGGATGCCGTATTCATTGCCCTTACCGTCCTAAAGCACTATCAGTCATGGGAGAAGCACGCCTTGG